CACGGGGTATGAGTGGGACAGGAAGAGTGACAGAGAGAGAAAGAGCGTCGGTGCTGAGAATATGCACGTATACGCAACACACCTCAAAAGGTTGTTGTCTCTGCTAAATGTGCCTTCTTTCCGCTCTCACGCCTTTTTGCCCTCTTCCTCTCTTCACTCTCTTGAAATAAAACTTGTAGGACTTGTTTTATGAGCTTTTTGCAACCGCAAAACATAAAAACCGGTACATTTTTTTTTTTTGAAACTGCAAGCTGAGAAAAGAGAGAGCGAGTTGTTGTTCCTGTGTAGGAATTTTTACTTAAACCATATTTTTCACACACTCTGCTTTTCTTACAGTTTTCTAAACACACACACATACAGACTCGGAAAGAGCCAACGAACTCGTGCAGCGACGCCCAAGAATGAAAGAGAGCAAGGCAACATGAAAATTACAGCAACAACAACTGGCTCGCCAAAGAAGTTGTAAAAGACGCAGAAGAAGAAGCAGCAGCCACAACAGTATTTTTATTAGCGGGTGTTGTTGTTGTCATGTATGTATGCACACTATTTGTCGTCCACATACTTAAATAGTTGTATGTTACTGTTGTTCTTGTTGTAATTATTGTGGTGCTTGTATGTTGCTGTTGTTATTATTGAGTTTGTGTTGGCTCATTTCCCATTATTTATATTTACCAAAAGATCATCGAACTTGCTTCTCAATTGCTTTGGTACCGAATTGTATGAAGTGCCGCCACTGATCTTGACCTACACGCTCGCAAGTTCAGCGCATTTTATATGGCTATTCAACTTGATTTTTGCGCACATTACCTTACTTCCACTTCCTCTCGCAAACACAAACGCAAATCACATGTATACATGTACATAAGAGCGGCGGCGGATTTAATTTTTATAACGGAAATTTTAATAAGCTGCCCGCTGCTGCCGATTGTGAGCGAGAAAGGTAGGGGAGAGAGTGCAGCAATTCCTAACAGTAAAAGCATTCTAATACTTCCATACATATATAAATAAGTCCCCACACCCAATCCAATAACTGTTTTTCCACTGCATTACAGTGGGCGCTTGGAATGGTCAACTAATTAAAACCGATAGTGTGCACTGTATTGATTTTTTTCACTCAATACTTCATTATTTGTTTTTTTTTTTGCAGGTCATAAATATTCTTTTAAAAATTGTATAATTTAAGTTTTTTTTTTACTTTAATATCAAATTGATATAATATCGATTGGACAAAGTCATATTATCATATACTATATCAGCAGTAAATTATATTTATGTACTCCCAAATACTTTTATTAAAATCCATGTTAATTTAGTATTCTAATTATATTATTAACTTGTATTTTACCTGCTAGAAGTATATAAACTTTCAGATAGGCAAAGCTAGCTTTATTTCCCATTGGCAATTCGATCCTCTTTCGTTGTCTCTTTTGATACATATGCATTTTTGCTTATCAGTTTCAATTCTGAACATTAAAAAAAATAATAACAAATTTGGCGTCAAATTGCCAAAGGCTGGCGCCAAAATGATGTTTACATTAAAATTATAATTTAGGGTGCATTGCTTTTTGCCCGGGACGCCCTTTTCTGTGTTGTTCTTGGATGTTGTGTGTGTGTGTGTGCCTGTTGAATTTTATTATTATTGAAATGATACCCAGCCTATCACGTAGAAATGTACGAAAATTGCTCCATTCACTTGCGCGTTGTCGCCATTCATGTCAATTCATATTTGTGTATTATCGCTAGCCTCATCATCATCATAATTGTCGTCATGGTCTTCATTATGATCATCGTGTTGTTGTAGTCGTCGTCGCATTTATTTTCGTATTTTTTTTATATTTGTTTATTGTGCCGTGGCTGCAAAAAGAAATACAAGACTTAAAGCCAGCCCGTGGCCGTGAGAACGTTGAAAAAGACTCGAGAAGCAGATGAGTCTCAATCTGAATCTGAATCTCGGCACTCTCATCGAATCGAAGCAGGAGAATTGTGTCATTCTTCAAAGTGGTTGTGAAATGTTTGCCTTTTTATGCCTATTCATATCACAGCCAGCTTTGAGGAGCGACGCGATGCTCAAGACAAGAAAAAAACTCCCAAATTAAAAATTAAAATAAACCATTTAAAATTAAAAATCACCATCTGAAAAAATAAGTCCAAATATTAAAAGTAAAAAAAAGATGTGAAATTATATCGCTAAAAGGTTACATGTGTATAGTTTTGTTTTTATCATTACATGAGCATAAGAATCGAAATTGAAAATTCTAAAATCCCGCAGTCAAATATCCTGAAACCTCAATCAACAAACAATATTGGCGCATTCCTGCTGGGCTCACAAAGTGGTTGTGAAATGCATTTCCGCTTTGCCCGGCATATCACAGCCAGCTTTGATGAGCTTAGCGTAATGTATCGTACATCAATCATGATAATACCCCCCCCGCCACATAATTCACACGCTTGAAACATATCCGTCACAAAACATACCCACCTCAGATCTATATTTGTAGTGAAATGCAATCGGCAAAGAAATGCGCGGCGGACAGAGGTCAAAATTTGGAAGGACGGAAGGGAAAAATGCATGCCACAACCCCGAAAAATGGCTAAAACTGGATTTCCATGTCTGATTTAGGGCCAAACACACATCCGGTGGAATACTCTTACTAACTATAACCCCATTCATAAATATTTGCAATAGCGATGCTTCATCCGTACGATGTTGATTATCTAAGCCTCATCAAGTGGTTGTGATATGGATACCCAACGCATATCACAGCCAGCTTTGATGAGCTAGGATAATCAACGGGAAACAACATAAATCGGATTCGAAAACAAAAAAGTGAATTGGTTGTGTTAAAAAAATAAAAACAAAATTCGGAAACCTATGTAAAATTTGCTGATTGTAATATAATGGTTCATAAATACATACAGATTTTTGATTACATTTTAAAAATACATTTATATATATATATATATATTTATGATTTTTTATGCAGTTTGATTTTTCCCCTTTTGTTAAGTACACAGTTTTAGAGTTAAATACCCTCGATGGTACCAAGATAATACTTTGCCACTAATGCCGTTTTATCTTTCTCACAGATACACACATCTCCCCTAACTCAACGTTTACGTTCCACCAGCAGCATATATATATAAATATAGAGAAAACCAATTCCAAAGAGATCTGACGACGCCCTTGCAGCGGACAACACGAATATACTAATTTATTATTGTGATAGTTACTAGTTTTAGTATTTTTAAGCTTTTAAACAACCAAACATTGCGAGCCAAAAACGAGAGCAGATATCCAAAAAGCTATAGATTAAAGCTGTAATTTCTAATGCATTCCAAAATGAGTGGACAACAAGGGCTGACGACTGCCCTGTTGTTGATCGCCTGCCTGGCATATCCGTCGCACATCGAGGCCTGCTCCAGCCGTACTGTGCCCAAGCCGCGCTCCTCGATCTCCTCGTCCATGTCCGGCACAGCCTTGCCGCCCACACAGGCTCCGGCCACAAGTAGCACCACCATGCGCACCACCACGACGACCACTCCGCGACCAAATATCACATTCCCCACGTACAAATGTCCGGAGACCTTCGATGCCTGGTACTGCCTGAACGATGCCCACTGCTTCGCGGTGAAGATTGCCGATCTGCCGGTTTATAGCTGCGAGTGTGCCATTGGTTTTATGGGACAGCGATGCGAATACAAGGAGATCGACAACACATATCTCCCCAAGCGACCACGTCCCATGCTGGAAAAGGCGAGCATTGCGAGTGGAGCCATGTGTGCGCTGGTATTTATGCTCTTTGTCTGCCTGGCCTTTTATTTGCGCTTCGAGCAGCGGGCTGCCAAGAAGGCCTACGAGTTGGAGCAGGAACTGCAGCAGGAATATGATGATGATGATGGACAGTGCGAGTGCTGCCGGAATCAGTGCTGTCTGGACGGCGATGATGAGCCAGTCATCCTGGAGCGCAAGCTTCCCTATCACATGCGGCTGGAGCATGCGCTGATGTCCTTTGCCGTTCGACGCAGTAACAAGCTGTGAGGAGAGCGAAAAGTACTGGGAACTCCTCGAATATGCCTTGCCCATCAAATTGCATTGGGCTTAAGTCGATAGTTGATAATACCTATTTACTGAATGCTAAATGTATACTCAATTACTGTCCACACAATCCTATCTAGAGATCTTAACTTTCGTTTACCGAAAGTCTTCACTCCGAAAAATGGTTAAAACTAGCCAAACCAGCCTTGTATTACCGAAAATTGACTATGAATTTTAATACCTTATGCTAGCTATTTATTTTTATTGCTAACTGATATTGATATGCGTATCACACACACAACGCGAAACACGCGCCAAGTATTATTTATTGCTAGAGAGTTTTAAGAAAAAATCATATAAATTTTCTAAATAAACATGCGAAACTGCACCATGCAAATTCTACCGTTTTGTTTTTTAAAGGGTCTGATTTATAACTATTTTTTTTTTTTAAAGGCTTTAATAGCTATGATCAGATAAAAACCTAACTTGGTTGCAGAATTTCAGGTGGTATCAAGTGTTTGCCAAAATTAAAAAAAAGGACAATTAAACAATAATCCGATTTGATTTCAAGACAACCAAATAAAAATAAAATTTTGGGCAGAAAGTAAACATTTAACGTTATTAGGACCTATAAACAAACTACTTGATTTATAACTAATCAAACAGCTTGAAGATAAGCTATAATCAAATTATGGAGCGTATTCACAAGACTGCTGTATATGACATAAGAAGCCTTTATCAACTGTCAATCAAATGGGTTTTTTTTTTGTAAGGGGACTTTCAGACGGCGACAGTGTGAATGTCAAACCGCTAGTTACTACACCGGGATTTCCCAGTCACTAATGGTGCATTGACAAAGTATTTATGGGGTTCATAAATTAAATGTACTCACAACTGTCTGAACGATAATTAGCCAAAAATTTGTAATTCAGGTCAGGGAAAAAATCGAATGAAAACCAATGGATTTTAAGATATTAAAATAAAAATTTATTTTTCTATTTACATTCGAGAAGCAAAGTCTGATTCTCCTACTTAAAACTGTTGGGATATATTTTTGAACTTTTGATAGAGTGCCTTCATGGGTCCGTAGCTCGAAAGGACCAGAGATATGAGTGTGAGGCACTTCATCAGGATTTGGAAGTCTGTCTCACTGCGGCTCTTAAAGTATCCGGTCTGATAGCCATAATACTGGGTCACCAGTGCGATCACAAAACAAGTAAATCCAAGCAAATTGTGAAATGTCTTGTTCAATAATGGTGTAATCAGCTTCTTCACACGAGCGGAGAAAAGTGCAGCCACGCCGGAGGACATGGCCAGAATGCATAGTATAAAAGCGGTCATCCCTGCAAATAATTAACACATAGATTACACAATGTCTGATAAGTGATAAAAATAATATAAATAATAGCAGGCCTTAATAACACTTTGAGATATCAATCAGCGTGGAGTAGAACCCATTGATTAGAAAACTATAGAAGATAATACTTATTGTAAATTGTTTGCAATAAATAAGTCAGTATAAAATTAGTTATATTTTGTTTACAATTGACATTGTAAATATAAAACGGAATAATTAGAAAAGAGCAAAAAAGATAGATAATAGTTATAGAGAAATTACTGGTGTGTACATAAGTGATATTTGTAGGCAGTAAATATTATTAAAATTTAATACACTTTTTCATCATAATACTATATCATAGATCATACAATATCGATTTTTCGATTTTATTTGGTTTTGGATGAGGCTATGTAGTAGATACCTCAAGACAAATTGCACAAAAAAATATATTTTCTATGTCTGATTGAAGATTGATTTTAAAAGTGAAAAGTTTGTTATGTTTTCATAAACTTAAAATGAACCTCATATTATATTTTCGGCTAGGGTACAACTTTTATGTCAAAGTTGTATTAGCACTTTTTGTCTGGTTTTACTTACCCAGCTTCCCATGTGTCGACTGGAGCAGAAACCCCTTTTGAATCATTTTGATAAGGGCTCCAGCAGCTCCACAACCGCCCCCCAGTGTGAGAAGTACCCAATGTATTGTGGTCTTCGTTTGGCGTTTATATCCGTTGGTCAAGACATTTCCACCGTAGTGAACCATAACTCCTTCGGCCATAAAGAATGAGAACTGTGATGGACAGGATCTTTAGTGTCCGATGGTGAGATTATAATGAAGGGAACTATTTACCCCAATGGTTACTAGCCAGGCGTGCAGTCCAGTGCCGGATAATCCAGTTCGCAGGGTCAAATATGATATATAGATGGTGATAAATCCAATGCACATCTGGTTCACAACATTTAGAAAGTACTCCAATCTCTGTAGGCGATTCTGGGCCTCATGGCCAGACAGCGAACTGTGGGCCATTTTTGAATAACGTCGCGGAGATTCGATCGGAATAAATGTGGGTCGGCGCTGCGATTCCGTCCGGAATGTGCTGCCGTAGTCGACGACTGGCTGGGTACGACTAACCACTGGCTGCTGATTCTCGGACATTGCAGTTTCCCTTTTTTTTTTTTGCCCGGCGGCTTTTATCAGTACTTTGAAATAATGTTATTTTCGTGTTAACATTTATACAATTGTCGACTGATAATACTGCTTGCCAATATTCACAGACTAATTGGCACAAACTTTTTATTGACGTACTAGAACTATTGGGCAAAACCGGGCGTGTGCTCCATCTACGATAGCAATTAAAATTGTTTAATGTGCGACCGATACGCCCATTGAACTTTGTTAGCAGTTAGTTAAACCATCTTCGTGAATGTTTATGGGGCGACTGCCGAAGCCTTTCTTGCAGCGTCATTTACACGATCACCGGTCTAGACCACAGAATGATTATTCTTTTATTCCTATTCATATCGGTTTACGCTTTGGGAAGCTATTCAAGTGCTTACAAAACCGCAAATAGACCTTCAATTGCGTGGCTCTTTTTAAACTTCCGATAGCGCGCAATTATTGAATGCGATAGCTTGTCAATTATCATTTTGCACTAATCAACACTTAACTTGCCAGCTTTTTAAATCCAACAGTGTTGGCAATATAGCTAAATTAAATATATAAAATCTGGCTATCAAATTATTAGTTGATAAATAATTATAATATATAAAAATAATATATATGTATGAGTATATGGGAAAAGCTAGTTTAGTTTAACTAAAAAAAATATTTTTTTTTTATGCTTATGAAACACCTAAATATTTTTCATATACCAATGACTACAATCTACAGAATTATTTTTTAAATTTGTTTGAACAGAGAAGTATCAAAATGTACTGTTTAAAACCAACATTAAACGTATCACAAATATAGAAGAACGGTTCTTAGACTTGTACTTTTCATTCAGACAATAAACGATAAAAGAATGCTATAGTTTTGTAGTATTTACTTTATGCTACAAATCGTTGCATAAGATGAGGGGTTCTACAGTAATTCTTTGCGAATTACGTTTTTTTTATGCTCTGTAGCGCCAGATTATTGAGATTTAAGAAATCTTCAGAGTTATATAATATAATATTTGTTATCTTTTTCATACAAAATATTTTATTAATTTTTTCCTATTTTTCTTTTCCATTTAAAGAAGAAACACGAAATACATTTTTATATTTTTAGCATTTATTGAAACGAATTTCTTAAAGTTACAGATTTTTTTTAATAGTATTAAGGTTGCAGTCGTTTTTTTGTTCCCTTAGCCTAAAATATAAAACACATCTTTGGTACAAGTTTGTTATGGAACTAATTAACTTTGAACCATAAATAAATTCTTAATGCAGTTTGTACAGGATTTGGCCAAACGTTTCTAGCTAGCCAAGCTGCCAAATTTCTGGTAGAGAGATTTCATCGCTCCAATGCTGGTTATGACCATTAGGACCATAGTGACGACCTGCATGAGGACGACGAAGTCCTGCCCCTGACCTCGAAAAATTCCAGTTTGCGTATAGCCATAAAACTGAGCCATCATCGCGATCACGAATGCGGCAAAGCTGAGGACCACATGAAAGGTCTTGTTGATCAGCGGCGGAACTGCACGACTGAAGGTTCTGGCCAGGAAGGCGGCCACACCACTGAGCAACGAGATGAGGCACAGGACGAAGGCGGCAAAACCCAAGCGGGCATGGATTGTAACACTAATTGTCCACTGGTCACGTATCAACTGGATCAAACATCCAGCCACTCCCATGCCGCCGCCTAGAATCTGAAGCACCACATGGAAGGCAGTCTTGTATTTCCGCGAATAGCGAAGTGTCAGCCAACTGCCATCGTAGAAGCACATCATGCCCTCGGCCATGAGGAAAACAAATCCGAAGGTCACCAGCCAGGCGTGCAGGCGAATCCCCGAGAGATCCTTTCGCAAACAGGTCCAGCTAACCCAAATGGTCACGAATCCTATGCAAAGCTGATTGATCACATACAGTGCCGCTTCAATGTGCTGGAGGACTGAAGTCGGTTTGGATTTTTCGTCACTCATTGTAACACAACTTTCTTCTTCTAAATTCGCCAAAAATGTAATTTAAGCTTAACTAAACTTTGAACTAAAATTACTTTTTTGAACAGAATACGTTTAGTTTATTAATGTCTAATATCCTGTAAAAGGATTTTGTTCTGTAGCAAATAGCCTTTCAAATATCGAACCGTTTTGCATTAGTTATTACAATGGACTATAGGCGACTGAGGTTTTTATTGCCTTCAGCATGGCTTTGTGACTTTCACTAGACTGGCAGACTATTTGTTTGCTATCGGGTTATCAGCAACATTTTGGCTACCCAAGTTAATGCATTCGACTCAAAGGATTATACAATGTTATTGAGTGGGCCGTTGCACGTTCACGTTCTCATTATCGATGGCCAAACGATCTAATCACCCATATCGCCATCCATCCATTCATTCATTCATTCAGTCATTGTAGTCGGGGCTTATAAAGCACAAGTAGGAAGGATTACCATTCGGGAATGCTTGCGCTCACGTTGCCCATTCCCCGAAAACGACATGAGCCAGGGGTCTAAATTTAAAGGGGTTATTAATATTAACTACACTCTTCTAGCTCGAGTACTCCTCCACTTTGTGCCACTTATTGACATATATGCACAGGTATTTCAGTTCGATTGCAAGTCAGCACCGCCTTATCGACATGCAAAATCGCACGTACCAGATAAAGGTTACCACACCAAACAAACTTACACTCCAAAAACACACATTTCATTCTGTGTCATCGGGCCAAGGGTCTGGGCAATCAAAAAAAAACGCACAAAACATTTTTCAACCACCCACACGCTTTAAAAATTGCGTTAAGATAAGCCATTAATTTTTAATGAAATCAAATAGCACACCATGTTTACAAATATCAATTGGCGACTCGGCAGTTTCTTATCTACGATCTGACATTGAGGGTTATTAAAGTATATTGGATTAAACTTGAAGTAGTTCTATAAAAAGGCGGGCGATTAGATCCGCTGCGGCCAGATTGAAATGACATGGCTGGATTTACAAGGATTAGCAATCGATACTAGGACTTTAAGTGTCTCATAAGCCACTAAGCTCCTTTTTGGAATTCAAAATATTCGGTAGCCTTTGTGCAATAAAAATCGTAGATAACCACTGCTTCAAGTTGCTCACCACAAATGTTTGGTATGTCTCGATCGGAATGCATTTGCTTTCATTCTTGGCCAGACTTTAGAAGTAGACAACCACCACGGATTCTTGGTCTCCACTAACTGTGGAGAGAGTACAGTTATAATATAATAAAGATTATATAGATAATCGCAAGCAAAATATTTATATTTTTTTTTTATTATTTTGTTTATATATTTATTTATTGGAATATTTTACCATCATATTCCACAGATATATAGTAAGCTTGAATGATTCAGTAAATACACTTTTTAAATATAACTAATTGCAAGTAAATTTATTAAAAACTTTCAGGCAATTTATGGGGTAGTATATAGGGCTTTCCAAAAAATGTGTGTTAACAAATGACTTATTTGTTTTGATTTTTATTTGCTGTTATTAAATGTTATTATCTTCCTGGCAAATGAAATATTTTTTGTAAGTACAATTGTGCACCCGCATTACGCCTTCAATAATTGCAACGCAAGCCTCACTTTCGTTTTGGTAATGGGGTTCACCCTGATCCCAATTAAAAAACGAGGATCGTTTTCCGGAAGCCTTTGACACAAAATCGCCTCTTTTGGCCCTGTCGTTGAGGCCCAGAAAATATGGCTCCGAATACTTCAGTTTGGAAACAATGGCGTTGAACTCCTCTTGATTTTCAATAGACGCTAGATGTCCTCCCTTTTGACGACAGACGACCCCAGCATCAGTCCAATTGTGCTTAACATCTTTTACAATGTAGAAAAATCTTGAACCGATTTTCTCGAAGTTTGGTGGGATGCATTTGACACTAGTCTCTTCCTTTTTGTCTAAGTCATGTTGCAATTTATTTAGACGCACAGTTAGCTCATTTTGCATCCGTTCTAATTTTAAATCGAAGCTTTTCTTGGTTTTATTTAAGAGCAGCTTGAACTCTGCCATGTGATCATAGAGTGGACCTAGTGCTGAAAGGCAAAATGACCCGCATTGGTTTGGTGCGTCCTCAAGAAGACAAACGGATCCCGGGTTTTCCTGGTATTTGACTGGGGATCCATAAACTTCCAGGGCAACAATCGCGCACAGTAGAAAAATGCTTAACTTGAGCATACTGCTACTGAACGACCAATTCCGACGAAAGCCTTGTAGCAACTAATTGTGGACTCATTCGTACACTTCTGAAAAAAATCTTCACTGTTTTCAACGACTTTTAATTATAATTATTGGCATTAATTGGCAAATGGACCTTTCACTTAAAAAAATATTCTTAGTAAAAAAAAAATGTTCATTCATATTTGGTTTGTTCACAATTTAGGTAAAATTAAAAGCATATTGAGGTATTGAACTTGAAAAATTGGAAAATAATACTGATTGTATTTAAATTTTCACCATCCACGATCGTCCCCACTTTTATACCTCATTAAGAAGTGTTTTTGTTTGGTTTTTAATATTGATTGTAATTATATTATAATTTTTAAATATATTTATTTTTACTTTATGTCCACATTAATGCGTTTAAAACATTGTTTTGCTACCATTTCGCAAGAAAATTGATTAAACTTGAAAATGAAAAAAACGATTTTTTTCCCAGTGTTTTTTTTTTAAATAACCTTCATATACCCTTGCTATTAAGCAGTCTATTAATCACATATTCAATAAAAAATATTTTTCAATAATGTTCCAGGCGTTTTTGTGTCTAGAGGAATGGCTTGGTCAATATAAAAATACACTATATGCACGCGCTTATTATCCACTTCATCTTCTATTTGTAAATCTTGGCTCGTGCAAATCTGCTGCTTACTGCACAATTTTTGTCATTGAATTGGTGGGTAAAGCCCAACATAATCCCTATTTTATACTGAATAAATGAAACAAATAACAAGTCTTGACCCATGTTGATGTTGAAAAGATGCTCAGGTATTATCCACATTCGCCGTGATTTATCTCTGAGAACTTTAAGCAAGGTCTACGGTATTCCATGCTTTTAAGAAGAATGAAGTATACCACACGTGATCCTTGATAATTATCGAAGTATAATTTCAATTTTCATCTCTTTCATAACTATTCGATTAAAGAATTTTATATTGACTTGCTTTGATTTGTAATATTTTTTGAAAATATAGTAATTAAAGGAAAAAAAATTAAGTAAACGGCAACCAAACTTCTAGAACATATTAAAAAAAAATAAATTTTAGCACTTTATTTTTTCTAAATTTATCTATTTTGCTGTAGTCAAAGCTCTCGCTTTTTTACAAAGAGTACATTTAAATTAACACAAGTCAATAATAAAAGCATACAATCCAATTTATTTAAAAGTGAAAATGTCTTTTTCATTAAAAAAAAAGAGGGGGGGGAAGGCATGCCAATAAGGTAAATGAGCCCGTTATGACAGTGCCAAAGATGCCTTTATAAGACGTCGAATCAGTCGCTTAAAAACATTCGCCTGGATAAATCGTTCACTGGCAGTATGTTCAAGTTCACAAATATTATATGGTGCGCGTTTGTTGCCCTGAATATTTATGGATCACCAGCATATTGCAAGGAAATTAGGAGATCCAATTTTCTGTTAGAGGACGCCCCTAACCAATGCGGGGCTTTTTGCCTTTCAGCACTAAGTCCACTGTACGATCAAATGGCTAATTTCAAGGTAAGTCTAATCGAAGGCGACTTGGAACTGACAGTAACAAGATAGATGGCCAACAAAAAGCTTTTCAGGAGTCATTATCTAAAGTTATACCCCAGATGGAAAGTCTACTGAAAAACTTCGACGAAAAATTAGACAGTGTGCAAGGCCAACTGAATGCGGTACTGATGAGGATGGAAAATGCCTTAGCCATAAACACAACCAGTACTCAGACTTCACAGGAGCCAAAGATAGTGACTTCCGTTAAAAAGCATTCCCCCGAAATTCGAGTTGATAGGCTCAAGGTATTTTTACATTGAGAGGAAATTTCCTCAAAATTGGACAAGTGCTGCCAGTACCTGTCGCCAAATGGGTGGGCATCTGGCCTCGATTAAAGACGAAGAGGAGCTAATCGCCATCACTACCAGAATTAACGATGGCCGGAACTACTTCTTGGGCACCAACGACCATAATGAAAAGGGCACCTTTGTGTCTTTGGCCTCCGGAAAGCCAGCATTTTTGAAGTGGCATTTTGGAGAACCAAATTACATTTCTAAAATTTCAAACTGCGTTGAATTTGCTTCTTTCGAAGAAGTAATGTGGCTGTTGAATTGTAATTCTGAAAGAAACTTTATTTGCCAGGCTGATGACGAAGTTTAGTAAAAAAATCTTCTGAGTTCAATAAAGAAGTTTGTATTTGAACTTAACTGTATATTTTTATAACTTGTTTAGGTACTCCGCCGGAGTTATTATATAAGTGTATTTATTTAGTCGAATGCCTTATCATTTTTCGTCACCAAAAATTTTAAAAATAAATTATGCATGTTGCGATCGTCACGACCTTTTTACCTCATTAAGAGATGTTTTGGTTTTATATCAAAACTTTGGCTTTTTTTTGTTGCTTTACTTTTTGAGTCTTTTTCTAGTCGATTTCCTGTTAAACTCCAGTATTTTTGGAAAGTAAAAACAAACTTTTTTCAAAAAGCAAAACTTAAAATTAAACAAAAATAACAATTAAAAAAAAAGAAACATTTTGAACAGAGCAATGGATTTATAACCAGTATTTTCAACAAATATGTGATAATAAAGAGAGGTGTTTGAAAGGTTCGCTTTTAGGAATATATTGAATTCGCTTAAGACGTGACCAAAAAAAATAAGGATTTTATAGATATTGTTTGAGGTAAATTAATTTTTTAAAAAAGAACGCATTTAAGGCTCCTAGGAGGAGCTTGATTGAAAATTACAAAAAGCTGACTAACATAAGATTTTAGTTTGTCTCTTAAATACTATGGTGAATTCCTTTGAAATTATTTAAAAAGCAGTAGATGTGTACATTATAATCACAATATTTTATTTGATTTTAGAAGAGAATGTATTGTTTGGTTTGAATACTTTAGCACTTGCTCTTGCACTCGTCTCCCTCGCAAATGTCGCAAAGCTTCGACTCGATGGAGTAGTACTCGGTGGCCTTCTTGTTCGTGTCATAGTAGTCGTAGAGGATCACAGAGGACGGCTTCTGGTTGGCCACCGCATGGGTCCTGTAGGCCTGGACGGGAATGCATTTGTTTTCGTTCTTGGCCAGATTCTCGAAGTAGACGACCACCACAGAGTCACCGTTCTTGGTCTCCACCAACTGGGAAATAATAAAATCAATTGTTAGTTTAAAAAGCTGGTAGTTAACTAGTAATCAACTCACCCTGACACGAGCAATGTCACGGATGTCCTTGAAGCTATCCTGATCGGCGGTGTAGCCCGAGGGCAGGGACACCTCCAGAATGGCCATGTTGGATTCCTTGGACTTGCCCTCCTCCACGAAGTCCACGCAAACGTTCAACTCCAGTTTGGCTGGCGATGCTCCGGGTATAACAGTGGCCTCAACCTTGAAACTGGGCTTCGGCTCCTTCTCCACCACATTGTACTGGTAGCTTATCTGGACGAGAGCTGCGCCAGTGCCCTTGGCCTCGAACTCCAGCGATTTGGTGCCCTGCGGGAATTCCACCGTCTGGAGCAGCAGATCGTTCTCCTCCGATGTGGTCAGCTTCTCGGTCTTCTCGCGCTTGCCCTTGTTGGAGACGGTCACCTCCCACTTGGCCGCCTCGTAGCCCGACTTCTCGGCGAACTTGATGAGGGCGGTGAGACCCACCACAGTGTCCTGGCTGGAGGCGAATCCTCCGTAGCTATTTCGCTGGGCCACCAGCCAGCGAACCGTATTCAGCACCGTGTCGGCCGTCTCCTGCTCGGATTCCAAAAGCGAGAGCAGTGCATACGAGGTGATCTCCACATCCTGACTCCACACCCAACACCACCAGCGTGCGCAGTTCTTCGATTTGTACAGCTTCTCCAGATCCTCGGTCCACCAAGTGCGATCATCCTCCTGCTTGGCCAGCGATTTAAGGTCGGCCACCTGTTTGGCTGCTTGTGGAGCCTTGGCCCTTTGCAACGCATAGATGGCTATGGACTTGGGCAACAGCTCCACGGATTCGGCCGTGTTGGAGCCCAGATAGGCCACCGCCTTGTCAATGGCCGCCTGGTTGGGCTTCTCCTCCTCCAGCAAGGCCAGCAGCGAGTTGGCCGTAAGGGTCAGCAGATTTCTCTGCGAGCTGTAGAAAAATTCGCCCAATTCCGTGAAACTGCCATTTTCGGCCTGGCGAGTGAGCAGGAACTGATAGCCCTTGGCCAAAATCTGCTCATCCAGATCAACGATGTCCTTGATCTTGCTAAACGAACGCAGGACATAGGCCGTAAGCCAGGTGGAGCCAATGCGTTCCGGATCCTCCTGCCGCCACTTGTGCGGTCCAAAGGAACTGAAGCTGCCATCGTCGTGGCGATATTGCAGCATATTCTGATAGCCCTCCTGCAGGTTCCGCTTGATGCGAGTGTCCAGGGCGGGCGTCAATTTCTTGATGCTCTTCAGGTAATCCCTGACCAGGTAGTTGGGCACCAGCTTGGACATGGTCTGCTCACCGCAACCGCTGGGCAATCGCAGGAGATTCTCCAGATTCTTGACCACTGGTCCCAGGAGATCACCCACCAGTCCGAATTCCACACGCTCCGAATCGGGAACCACCTCTGCCGGCACTTCCAGCTCGAAGGTGTTCTTGAACTCGCCCGTATCCTTCAGATTGACAAAGAATGCCCTGTTCTGGTACTGGGTGGTACCCTCGGGGATTACCTTCAGCGCCCTGTGCACAGCATCGCCGGCCAGTGGTGAGATGGCCGTAAATTTGAGCAGTATATTGCCAATGACCTTGGGCCGGATGAGGAATGAGGCACCAGCCGCTTCGTTGGCACCCACTCGGATTTTCTGCGAACGCTTCTGGTCACCGATGACCTCATTGGAGGCATCCACAAAGTCGTACTCAGCATCCTCGTTGTCCAGGGTCAGTTCCACGTCCAGTTGCTTGGGCAGATAGTTGAAGACCAGAGCCGGCACATTGATCACCTCGCCGCGTTTCACAGAGTATGGCAGTCGGACGGAGACGAAGAACGGCTGGAAGGTCTTAATGTTCACCTGCTCATCCGTGACACCCAAGCCCTTCAGCGGATGCAGCGAGAAGCCGGTGACCACCCAGTTGGTAATCGTATCGGGTATGGTCTTAATCCACTTGAATACCTCCTCCTCCGTGCTCTCAATGTCGGCGAAAATCCACGTCTCCGCAAAGTTCTTTCGCACCACAGGGTTTGCCGGTCCTGACTCAGCAAATCCAATGGCTTGGGGAGCAGCTGCTCCCATCATTGCGGTTGTTGAGTGTAACATCGGGCTATCTTGTACCAACGCGGTTTTCCTCATGGCGAAACTACCTCCAGTTCCAGCAGCTCCAGCAGCTCCAAAGGCTTCTGCAAATGGGTTTAAAAAACATATTTAAGTATGTCTTTTCCAGGTAATGACATTTCTTAAATTTGACTTGCCTAACCATCTCTACACAAAAGGAATACATTTGTTTTGAGATTTCGTAATATTATTGAAAGTGGGTAAATTAGGAGGTTAGAAGAAGATCTTCTAATTTGAATATTATTCAATTGTCTAATTTTATGAAAACTATAATTTTCAGTTTATAGGAATGTATCCAGAGAAAGGAAATCCTAACTTAAAAGGAAAAGGTTCGAGGTAAGACTTAAAATTCTCGAGGAATGGAACAAAAAAATTTTTTTTTTAATATCTACTTAGGAACCTACAAATTAAAGCCAAATTAAAAAAAAATTTTGGTGCTAAGGTATTTTATAAGGAAACTCTAAATTAAAATATACTTAAATAAAGTAAGAAATCTTTAAGATTTTTTTCTAAAACTCGAATTTTAACAACTGAATTTACTTGGGGAATATTGTACTTACGTAATTGGTAGAATGGAGCGGTTCGATTGTAGAAGAAGTAGGCGTTGGTCATCGTGACGACACCGGAGCGCTCTCCGGGGAAGTAGGAGTAGCCACCCTGCCAAGGAGTGGAGGTGTCGTAGCCATTCAGACGCCAGTTGAAGGAGTCCTTGTTCAAGTCGTTGTTGTTGCCCAGCAGGAGCACACTCTGATCGACGGCCAAAAGGCCAACGAAGGACTTTGGCGACGTCTTGATCTCCAGCTCGACATCGGCACCCGGCTTCACTTCCTCGGGCGCCTTGATTTCGATCTTATTCTGCAACTCCACATCCACGCTGAAGGTTTCCTCGGCATACCGAAATTCGCCAGTCTCATCCACGTAATAGAAGTACACACGACCGTGGGGAGAGGTTTGGAAGGTGGGCTTCAATGTCACATTGACGGTTTTCTTGGGCTCCTCTAACTCCACTCGCTTCGTTTCCAGAATGTTTCCGCGTCCCACAATGTTGTACACAAAGTATTTCAGCGGACGACTGGAGTTGAGGGTCACCTGATACTCCTGGCCGATTTTAAGGCTGTAATAAATACAAATTTAAGTAAGTAAAATTAATTCATCACTTAAGCTCTAATCTTTTTAGTTTTATTGCCTGTAGAAAAATTAAGTTAACAAACAAGTGCTACATAGAAAACAGCAATGTTAAATTGATATTAGGAAACAATAATTTTTTGCATTTAAACATAAAAAAAGTGATACAAGTATCAAGACCGAATTGATTCTAAATTTTATGAAAACAAGTTAATTTTTTTATTTATTTTTTTCTGTGATTATATACTGTGACTTTTACTAACCTCCATGTGTCTTTGGGCCTTTGCACTTCGGCCTTGAACCACTCCTTTTCCACCTCCTCCTCCTCGGGGTTTTCAACCTTCTTTGGCTCCCTATAGGGATAGGTGGTGTAGAGTTCGCGCTTCTCGTCGGCAAACTCCAGCTCAATTTGATAATAGCGGGTGAAGTTGGCCAAGTCCGGCAGATCGGGTAGAGTCACCTTGAAAGGCGCCAGGCTGGACTCATTCAAATGGCTCTCGAACACGAAAGTTTTGTTCTCAATCTTGGGCAGTGGTGGCTCCTCCTGGTTGTTTCCATAGCCGTAAAAACCATAATTGCGACGAATTCCCTCAGTGAACTTGGCCTTTAATAGGAAATTAAATAAATATTGGTTAGTAAATTAATCAAGAATCATCAAGATTGTAAGCGCCCACCTTCACCACAGACTTGGTGTCCGTGAGCAGTGTACCATCGACAAGGGTTATTTTAAAGACGATTTCGTGCTCCTTGTCGGGCTTGAAGGAAAAGCAGGTGCTATAGTCCGTGCAGGACATCTCGTAGCGATAGGGATATAGTTGGACACCGCCCGTCTCGTTGAGCTTCACGCCGGTGAAGTCCTCCTCGACGGTGGCCGTAATCTGGGCATACGAAGTGGAGTACTTGTGCGGCATATAGCTGGCGAACTCCTTCAGGTCCATGGTCAACTTGGCCTTGCCAGCGACCATGTCGGCGGTGCCAATTACAGAGTGGCCGGGGTAGTCCTTGCGCACGGTCTTGCCATCGACATTCTCCCACACGCTCGTCTCATCCAGGCGTACATTGACCAGAACCTTGCCATTCACGGGCTTGCCATAGGTGTAACTAAGGGAATAATATTGATATTAGCATCACATGGCATTACTGATCTATGGGTTTTACTCACTTGGCCTTCAGGACCACGTTCAATTCGCCATCTCTCACTGAAACCTGGTTGGTGGCCTCCATTTTGACCGAGTACTTGGGCAGCACATACTTCTCCACCTCGAAGTTGACCCGTTCATCCGACCGACGCCAGGTGGGGCCGAATCCTCCAATAATTCTTTGACGACCACGATAGATGCCGCCTTCTCTGGTCTGTTGATCGCCATTCTGCACTTGAAGAGACCAAGTGCCCAAGGTGGCGAACTCGGAGAGTTCGAATTTTCCCGTGTACACGCCACCGGTGGTCTTGATGTGCTTCTCCTGCTTGATGCGGTTCCGTTTGGAGTCCTCGAACCAAACGACCACCTCATCCGCGGCCGTATCCGGCAGCAAGTTCTCGTTGAGGAAGATCACACGATAGTTGATCGTATCGCCGGGCTTGTACTTGCCCTTGTCGGTCTGGATTTTGATGTACGGCTTGAAGTTCTCCCAGTTCAGCTTGGTGGAGTTCTTGAACTCCAGACCCTTGACACCCTCGGCCGTGAGATTATAGTCACCCGACGCCAATGGAGGCAGTTTGAAGGTGATCTGCTTGTACTCATCGGACTTGGCCAGCTCCACGGTCTGGGTTTCGTTGTAGGAGGGCCCGGTGATGCCCACCTTCAGGGTGACCGGCTCATTGGTCTGGTGAACGGCAATGGCCACATTGTAATCGCGATGGGAGTGGATGGTTCCGGGACCCACAATGGTATATTTACTAAAACAGAATCATCAAAGAAAATCAATTGTTATTTATTTATATATTTAAGAAGTTAATCCTAAGATACAATCGTAATGAAAACATTCTTTAGACAGGACAACAAAATTAAATCGGCAAAATCCTCGAGAGTATAATGATTTGTTTCCTAACATAAATGATAGAGGTCGACAAAACTTAAAAACGTGCCTAATATTCTAGATTAACCATATAATATAGATTTACTGGCATGTCTTTTATATTTTATTATTTTATTTTCTGTTTCAAAGGAGACTATCTGCATAAATGATGATGATTTTGTCTACATTGAAACGGTAATTCAATTACCCAAAATTGAATATTGAGAAATCGTGTTAATTTCGTTTAATCTCAAGGCAAAGTGATACCAAATGGAACTTAGAAATTTGAAATGTTTGTGCGGGACTCGCCTTTAACCTCATCTTTATCAGTTCTCTCGGCACTCAAAAATGCTGTTAAGGTTAATGTATTTTGGGTTTTTTTCTGTTCTGTGGCAATAAATTATACATAAATATGTATACATATGTGTTTATACATGCATTTATAATAGCCCTGGAGATAACGGTAAAGATTCCGGGAACCTGATCTGCTTCAGAAAAGTTTGAAACCGGCTTAGAGATTATATAATCCATGTTTATTACGATCAGCCATTTTTCTCGCACTTACAGTCCTCGATCACGTACACCGATGTTGTTAACTTGATCATCACTTATTGTTTTTTATGGCTTACCTTGTTTCCTACATTTCGCACAGTCAAATTGTTTTCAGATTATTCTAACTTTTCAAAATTTTTAATTGTGTTCAATAATCAACCTTTGTGTTTCCTTATAATTAATCATAATTAACTACACTGTAAAAAAAAACTAATTTGAGATCGTGTCATAATTTAATGATGTACTCATCAACAAAACTATTAAGACAAACAAAAGATGTGGCGTGTTCAATTGTTTAACTATACAATATAATAATCTATATGCAAATGGCTTACTGAGATTCAATCAGCAGAATAGGTAAATTTAATTTAAAGATGTGAAAAAGAACACGTAATCAATTTACGTTATAAAATTTGGCAAAACAAATATTGACCTTCGGAAATGATTTTAAATTTCTAAGAATTTGTTTAACAGATAAGCAAATATTTAGTTTCATTTTAAATGAATTGAACTGTTCACAAAGATCAGTAAATTTTCCTGTACTACTCCAAGGGTAATCAAGATGAACTATAATATTATACTAATATATGAGTAAACGTATAAAAAGGGAAATTGATAATCCACTATAATTACCTTGGAGCTCATTTAAAAACGGCCCTATTACCTTATATGCATAATTAATTAAATAAAACAGACACCAACATCAATACAGTTGCTGGTAAAATAAGAGTAGTTTTAAGTATACAAATTTGGGAGATGTTATGGGGTTTACTAGAACTTATTAAAATCAATTAATATTTACTTAATTACTATTAGTGTTCTGCAGACTCTACCTCTTAAGAATATTTATCTTGCTGTAGCTTTATGTTTCAGCGATTTAATAACTAATATTCTGGCCTAACGTGTGTGAATTTCGGCCAATCAGATCACATAGTATATTGGGAATTGGGACTTACCCCTCAGCCTTTACCGGTTCCATCATCTGCAGCAGGGCCAAAATCGCACAAACCGTGACAGCAAAAGCGTCTGCGCGACGCATTTTGTTAGCGTTGGTGGTCAAAAAGGGGCGGGAAGGGGAGGAAAATACAAATAAAATGAAATAAAATTAATTCTGGCTCCGAGTGTTGCGGAAATTATGACTAGCGCGGCTACAACCGTCGGGGCTCAGAGTCGAGCTGGGACTGGTTCGGCTGGATGTCCCACGGATTTGATATAGCTTCAAGACCCCTCAATCCCAAGCCGGCCAAACAAACGAAGCCGAGTTCGACTGAGTCGTGCGAGTCGTAAAAAAAATAAACACTGATAAAAATTATAAGTAAATAACACTGGGAGCTAGTGTTAGTAGTATATACTCGCTTATGTGTGGGCACTGAAATCGATGACGAGTTGAGCAAACAAAAGCAAAACAATAACACTGACCACAATAAAAGCCGGCAATCGCCACTCGAATATCAATATTGGTATGTATTGACATAGGCTAGCACTGCCAAAAAATATCATTCATAATTCGGATATAGAATGATCTAAAGCTATGGAATGGTTTTGTTTCTAATGTTGTACACTAATAATTGCAAGTCAAATTTTAGTTTCTAGATGTTATGAAAAAACACAATTATGTGGGGAAATGTTCAAAAGTAATAAAAGAAATTAATAAATCAACCTCAAGTTTAAAAGTTTACTAATATTAATATTTTAAAGTGTTTGCGCTATAGAAATACCACGTGTAATTAATTGCAATCCTTTTCAAAAAACACAATTTTTAAAAGCATTTATTGGTTAATAATTTCACCATATCTACAAATAGAAATGTAGCGTGAAAAATTGAACTTGTATGGAACAACAGATAAAGAGGTACTGCAACCTGACTTATCTGATTTTTATATGAATGATGTTCTAGGTATTTGTCACAAAACTATGGTCATGCAATTGTCAAATTATAGCTGCTTTTGTTTATACTTCCTCTGGGGTTTTTCAATAATTAACACTTTAGTTGTCACTAATAATTGTCGTTCGTGCTTTCCATGGAAATTTAAGATTTAGATTTTTCGGCTATTTAAATGATTTACGTACATGAGCTGAGCTAATTTGGAAAACCCAAATTATTTTTTTTGTAGAAGCACAGAGAGTGTTCTCGCGTAAAATCCCAATGTTTGTTATTGAAAATAATGTTAATGTTTTTGGGTGTCAATAAGGGGTTGGGTTATATATTATCGGTGGACTTGTTGATTAGCAGTGCCAACAGAACTGGCGTTTGCATTGGAATACTTTGCGCGACTGACTGGTCGTTATATATAGCAAAATCCTCTCTCTCTCTCTATCTGAGTCAGCTGTTGTTGTTTTGGCCGCTTACCTCAGTGGGACGCTATTTTTTGGCTCTCTCGCTCTTGCTCAAGAATGACGTCACTTGCCAGTATTTCACATGGTACTGCAAATGAAACCGGGTACATAGTATAGAAATGACTAAGACCAGAGAGAAATTGACGTGGGTATATATATAACCGAGATTTGCCAAACTAAATCCAGTTTAGCTTGGTGATTCCCCATTGACTGTGTATTTCCCAGCCATACCCTGTAATTTACACAGCAGAAAGATTGTTATATCGACATTTCCCAGAAATCTAAAGTGAAATGATTTTAAAACTTCATGCTATATTCATTTCTTACCAACAACAGATAAAGTTGATTCTCTGTTAGTCTTAAATATGCCGTATTTTTACACAGCTGGTTTGATCAACGATTTCATAGAATTACAAATTAATAATTATTTTGATTATTGTAATACATTGCCTTGGCTTATTTAAAACACATATGTATGTATAAAGATAACAGCGCATACAAAGTGTCGAAAAGCATTCTAGGGTTTTCTTGTTCCACTTAAATTCATCAGTAATATATTCAAACACGTAACAAAGCTTTCCAGAAAGGAAACAAAAACATGTTCCGGAGCTATCTACAAAGAGCAGGGTTAAAAATAAACATTTGTTTACATTAAAATAAAATATATAATTTTAAATTACTAATAAGACTTGGATGCCAGTTGCAATATTTTGCACCAAAAAATATGTTTGTCTAGGATTCTTGGAATTGGAGAGCTAGGGAACCTTTACAAGTGCTCGTATTATGCGATTAGGTTCAGCACATATCAAAATTCCGGGTATTTTATTAATAATTCTATTCTAGTCAATTAATCAAGATTTGAATTATTATCTATAAAAAGTAGACATATGTATAAACAGATAGAGTAGAGTACACTCGAACACTAAATTGCCCAAAAAATTACTCATACGACATGGATGCCATTTCGCAGCTCTGACAATTTGTTCATCTTAATCGAACAACTCATTATTATTTTCTTAATTGGATGAATATGTATTCATTGGGTATATAAAATTGAATTGTGCAATAAGTAACCGACATTCATAGAAGGTAAGATCTGTGTAGCACAGTGTTGTTATTGGGTTTCCCCATATAAACATTTCTCGCTCCTTATCTATATCTCTTCGCTCCGCTTTAAGCAGTTTATTCATCGGACATTGCTTTTGTCGGCAATTTCACAACATCGATCATCATAGCTAACAGTTTAGGGTGGACCTAAACCTAAATCTTAAAATACTAAAAAAGTACAAAAAATTTACTTTCATGCACAAACAAAATAGAAATCACTAAAATTTTGAAATAATTTAAAAAGAAGTATAAAAGATTGCGACAATATAGTATGAATTAGATAGATACATATAATTCAAAAGATATTATGTATATTCTTGTATACATTCTTTAAGACGGATGTCATAGACCTTTTGATCTTTGTGGAAATTAAATTACATTTAAAATGAAGATATTTCCTTTCTTGAGGAAATTTTAACTTCCATGACTCGATTTTTGGGAATCACTCATGGTAAAGAGCATGATTAATACCGGACACTTGGCACGGCCAATTAAACAAACTGGTTTTAGAATGCTCCAAAAATAACAATAATCGCCGGAGAGCAATGCCAAATAATACCACCTGTGGCTACTGCCGCCTTTCCCGCGCCAAGGTAAAAACACGTGAACGGGGCAATCCGCTGAATCACCTTTTGCCAACGCCGCGCACCACTGCCTTTCAAAGTTTGATTTTGTGATTTTTTTCGAAACACACTGGCAAAATTCTCCATAGAGAGAGAAAGAGACTGAGCGAATTGCGAGCTTTCGATCGTTTTTTTCCAGCTGTTTCATGTCGTCAAAGCATCAAAAGCGTTCTAACACTCACATCGAGCGGTCGCGATCGGTTTAAGGTGTCCATCTAGCTTATCGGTTTTACGTGCGCATCTCACGTAGCAGATAAGGGATTTTTCCGTAATATCCATAATGACAAGTGCCGCCGAATTGCAAGGCCAAGGCTCCTATGGAGGATTCTACTTTGGCTTCTGCACCCTGATCTCGCACGTTCTTCTGGCGGGGATCACCGCTGCCATTGTTTACAAGTGTCTGGTGCTCAAGTTGGTACACACCGCCGGACATGCCTTCTACTGCACAATCGCCGTGAGTACTCCAATTTATATCCGTGATCAGATATATACGCAGAATATAGAACATTTCTATGATCCATATAAAAAAAAGAAAGTTAAAGGTCTCAGTTTATCACAAACTATTACTATCACAATATTATAATTTAATTTTAACTACAAGGTTGATATATTCTCGTTCAGCCTTTCAGTCTTCGTTTCTCCATATGTTTCTATGTTATATAGTGTGTCAGTTGTATAACCTTTGTGATTAAACAATTGAGTATATTTTTATGTATACATTTTGCTAAAATTTGTTTAAATCGGTTATCCAATTACTCCTTTAGAAAAAATCGTTATAAGGTTTTGAATACATTTATAATAATTCCTTCAGGAAAAATCGTAATAAGTTCTATTACCTTTGATTACAATTTTATGGGTAATTTATAAAACTGATCATTTTTAAGTTTTAGACAGATGCTGTCCAATCACGAACTCTTTTTTTGTTTAAAAAAACCCCCTGTTTACAAACATAATGTAAATTTTCTTTATACCTCCTGCACAGTTTGTGTTCTTTATGGGCGAGGCGCTGTTGGTGAGAAATAGCACATATTTGGAGTCCTGGTTGGGTCCTTTGAACCTGAACCGTCTACATGCTGGCCTGGGTCTGTTGGCATTCCTGGTCGGAGTCGGCGGGATCGGCATCAAGACGTGGCAGAAGCTGGAGCGCAATCGCGAAGATCCCAATGCCACCGTGCGGCACTTCAAGACCAACCACGGCTTCTATGGTGGGTTTGCCGGTTTCTTATTTCCAAATTTAATGATAATTTATTCCTCCTTCTCCTCCAGGTATTGTTGGCTGTGCTCTTCTGCTGGGCAGCGTTCTCAGCGGTCTTCCGCTGTATTTCATCAGCGGGGGCTTCACCTTGAAAACGCTCCATCGATTCTTCGGCCTGGCTGGATTCCTAGCCCTAATGGTCTCGCAAATGTTCGGCTACAACACCGGATTCGGCCGGCGCCAGTGGAAGCCACATCAACAGAAGCTCTTCAAGTTCTTCACATTTATCGCTACAATTACGACTGCAAATTACGAATTTCGCAGATTTGTACGAGATATTGCTGGCTGGGCGACAAATTATTTTATTGGATCGGAAGCAGCAGAAGCAAGAGAAGATCTTTGAGGATATAGCTATGAGCGAGTCTTATTACTCTGGACAATCAACACATCAGGGCGTTTTTGGGTAGGCAACCAATTCTGCGAGAAAGTATTGAAGATTTATTAATAACTCTCAAATAGTTAATGCGGAAATGATAAGTACCCCCAACAAGAATTTACATTTTTGTTGTGAATTTTGTTTATATAAAGTTCGCAGACGATTTAAATAGTATAAAAACTTTGTTATCTAGTTAGTGAAGGCTTAAGTTTTGCATGTCTACTTGACCACCTTATCAATGGAATACAAGAAGCAAAAATCATTTTCACTTTGTGCCTTTATTGTAAATTCACTTATACATGAATAACATTCTGTTGATTATTTAAAACATAAAATACATACATTTTCATATTTTTTTTTGGCAACGAGATTAATCAATCACCACAGAAAAACAAAAAAGTTACAAACTAAACTGATACGATAAAATGAAATCCCCTTTTCATTGGGGGCTATACACATTGAAGATACATAATAGATATATGGTTATTACATAAGCATATTTAGTTGCGGTTCTGCGAGACATGCATAATGTCCAGAGCGGCTGGAATATTGCCCTGCACTGATTCCAGTAGCTGGGTGAGCCAGGCGCCCTCGTTGCTGAAACCCATGGCCATCATGGCATGGATCGAGGCATTAATGCGTTCATCTAAAAAACAGAGGAATAATTAATGGGAAGCTCGGAAGGATTCCTCTGCCAACTTACCAGTGTGGTAGACGGGCACGCTGCGCTTTTCCTCGGGGGCCGCTGGTGAGGTGCCAATGCTGCTGGTGGCCACCGATGTGGTCGAGGTCGCCGTACTGACCGTATCCACCTGGGAGGTCTGGGTGTTGGCCGTAGCCTGCTCCACGCGAGCCTCCTCGTTGATGTGCTGACGCAGGAGTTCGCCCAGCTGACCAAAATCACGCACTGGCTGCTCAGGAGCAGCGGTGGGATTGGTCGACTCCAGATTGATCAGGTTGGTGTTGTTCGCTGAGTAAGCGTTGTCGATAACCTGCCAATCCTGGTCCAAGCTGTCCGAGCGGCGTCTGTCCTCCTCGTTGTTGGTCACCGACACTTGTGCAGCTTCAGTTGGCTTCGGAATCAATGGCTCCGTCTCAAGGGGAGCATCAGAAATAGATCCAGAAATCGAGGGAGTTTTTGAGTGGCTAGCAGATGGGGCATTCGAAGGATTAGCCGAGGGAACAACTGAGGGAGCAACTGAGGGAGCAGCTGAAGGAGCAGCTGACTGGCTGGCCGAAGAAGCCGTTGACTGGCCACTGGATTGGGCCTTTTCCTCTGGTTTCTTGGCCTCGCTACTGGGAGTCATTGGGGGAGCAAAAATTCCCGAATCACCCGCCTCAGTGGGATCGATCATCTTGGCAAACATTTCGCTGAAATTGTTTAGAATCTCGATGCCAGCGCGCATGTATTCGGGTGGCACCATCTGGGAGAGACTCTCCAGGTTGATCACTGGAGTAGTGGGCTCCGAGGAGCGTGTAGCAGTAACTGGATCCTCGGTGGGAGGAGTTGAAGTTGGCGGAATGTTAATCTTCTTCGGTTCAGTTGGCTTGGCCTCAGTTTCGGCTGCCTTTTGAGCGGTAACAGTGGGCTCAGCTTGGGGAGCACTTGGTGATGGCTCTGCAGCCTTGGGCTTCTCCGGTTCAGTCGGCGCGGTGGCCGTTGTCTCGTTCAGCGGCAAATTGGTCATCATCTCCACGAACTGGGACAAAACACTGCCGTGGCGACGGGCGTGACGACGCTCGCGGCGACTTTCCCTGGAGGAATCGGGAGCCGGAGCGGACTGGGTGGTCTCCTGGAAGGGGCAATGACCCCTGGAGCGGCGGCCACAACGGCGTGCGCCCCATGGATTCGGCCCGGTAAGCCAGGCATCCACCATAGTGGGTCCATTGTTGGTCGGCATGCGGATCATCATGTGCTCGGGATGCTTGTGGGCCGCCTCGCATTTCTGGCAAAGATCATAGTTGCTGCACTGGATGCACTTGTAGCGGAAGCCAACTATTGGGGCCAAGCCGCAGCCATCGCACTCCACGGAGTCGTGGATGGTGAAATTGCTCGGATCGTCGACGGATGGAGCACCAGCGTTGGTCGAGGATTCCTGCTGCTTGGAGACCTTCGGCTCCTCCTCAACGGTCACCAATGGAGCCACCTGCACATGCATATTGGCCTCGCACTTGGCCAGGAAAATTTCATAGTCGTTTTGATTGACAATTTCGATTTCATCGTTGTCGGTATCTGAAAATATCGAAAAAGAAACGAAGGCAACAATAATCATGAGTCATTGTAGGTTTACAATTGTTATCATAGGTATTTAAAAGGTGATTCACAGAGAGAACTAGCTAGACAAATTAGCTATAGTTGCGGATTTATAGGCATTACCAGTCTGTTTTAAATTTTTATGAAATGGTTATAAAAGAGTTGCTTTTAATGCAATTTTAATTTTTTTTAATCAGTTTTCAAGTGTTTAATTCATTTAAAAAAAAATTTAATCATGTGTACATTTATTGTTAGTGCAGTTAATAACTTTTAAAAATGTAATAAGTCACTTAATCTTGAAAAGACCCATACACAACATTTTAACTATGCTAGATTAGTATTTAAAATTTCATCATTTTAAATATTACGTACTTTTTTAATTGATAAGCCTGAAATCCAGTAATATACAGTTAACTTTTTTTATCTAGGGTAACCCCCCCTTACGAGTGAATTTGGCTATTTTTTCGAAGCCAAATCGTCAGCACTACTTTGACGGATGCAGTTATATGTACACACATACATATGTATGTACATTTAAAAGACAATGTTGCAATTTTTGAGACCCTTATTAAATTGTCTACTATTAAGCCACACTAACAGTTGTTTGTCACCAAATGTTGTTTATAAAACTCACCGATCCAGAAGGTCCTGATATCGCATTTGGGCAGCTGACGTTCCACGAAAAGATACAGCTCGATTTCGCGACGCAATATGGTGTAATTCTGGGAGGGCATACGTAAATATGCATTTATTTTCTTTTGGGGTCCAGCAACTGCGGCGCCCTGGTAGGTGATTTTCAGCAACTTCTCAGGCATTTTCGCAATATTCTCTTTAGTTTCGTTGAATTTTATTGATTCTGTAGTTTTATTTCTTTTTTAACTTGTTGTAGTGAATTTATGTGACAGACAATTAAAAAAATTTTGGAGCTCTGTGGACTACTGCGTCGTAGTTGTTTGGGCGTTCGATTGTGTATACAAGTGCAGCTGAGCGGCGGCAGGTTTATATACCATTCGAAACTAGTCACTGGAATGTTCTTGAAACGTTGAGGCTCTGCAAATATTGCAAATCACGGTCCTAACTGCTAAACCGTACAAGTTGATCTACCCCTAAAATTGTGTAGTAATGCCAAAGCTGGTCTTTGACAAGAATAATAATATTTTGGTTATCGATAAGTGTGAATATTTTTATGCCTTTTGTATATACGTAATGTAGACATGTCACCACTTTTGGTATTTTTTATTACTAAACCAAATGCACATTGCACACCTTTTGAATTTGTATATATAAAGAGAAATGATAAAAGAGAATCTCTACAAATGGGAAATAATAATTAAATTGTGTGATTACTACTGAACACAAACTGGCAAATATGATAACTATTGACTAAACAAAACCTTTAAATGTGAAATATTTTTTGTTTTGCTTATCATAAATGATGTTAAATGTGCGTCATCTTTCAAAAGTGAAAAGTGAACTACAAAAAAAGAAAAATACCACAGCAGTGGAAACCTGCTATTACGACCAACGGATATTTAAATTGGAAGCAGTTTTTTATTTTGAATATGTAATCTAAAAACTTACAACTTATTGTTTGACATATTTTCTAAATATAAAATCTCAGGCCTTTGAAGTTTTTAGCATCTTTAGCAACTGGAACAGTTGAGATGGAGTCCTGAAAGAGTATAGTATATTAATTAGAATTAAGTGCCAAACACTTACAATATTCTACGCAACTAACCGACTGGAGTTGTGAGGAGCTATAATTTGATGTTGTCTGCTTTCCAAGTCATTTTTAGACTGCTCTGGAATTTTAGTAACGCCCTCAAGGGCTCCGGATTCCGTATCTGCACCTGGATCCTTTTCGTACAATTGGTTTGTATCTGGTTCTGGAGTAGATTGGCGCAACATCATTTCACCTGATGAGAATGATACTTTGTAGAGGAATTTTGCATACTTTTTTTTTTTTTAGTACTTACTTAAATAATATTCAGCCATTGAGTACAGCCAGTTGGAACCCATTTGTGGGGCCAAGCCGATGACGACCCCATCCACTTTTAGCTGATAGTTCTCAGTGCCCTTCTGCCTCTGATCGTAGAGAATGTCCTCCCGCTGGAAACCATTGTCGGAATAGTCATCATACAGAACCTCTAGCAGGTCGCTGACCACGTTCCTCGAATTCGCCGGCCTGATCTTCCCACCAACGGGTTGGGCCAGAAGTTTGCCAAATGCCGGCAATATCAGGGCAAAGACAAACAGCCGGTTGGTGAACTTGCACATTTTCCCCAAGCAAAAAATGGACAGGACCGATGTGCTCCAATGGCGTGCGGTGAATGATTTTAGGTTCTCAGCCGCACTAAAAACGAGCCCACTTCTGCACCAGAAGAAGACCAAGAAAACCCGATTTCTGGACACAGTTCAATGGCCGCCAACCCAAGCCCAAAGACTTCCGCATTGCCAGGGAGCTGTGGGAATCATCTTCGGCTCCGAGCATTTTTAATGCTTCCTCGCAGCCATATAAGAAAGCATTTCCATTCGGGAGGAACCATCTGTGGAGCAGATCTGTGGCTGGTTGTCTCCGATTCCACATCGCCATTTGGGTGGAAAATGTAAACCAAACTAGGGGATTCCTTTCTAAAGGCTAAACACTATTGGTTAATGGTTAATGGTTATTAATGGTTAAAACAATATCTCTACAAAAATAAAAAAATTAAAATCAGAAAATTCAGCTAATAATAGATGGGGAACATTTTTGTAAAATACTATTGATAATGATTAAATTTACTAAACAAGAACACCCAATTGTAATTTTCTATGAATGAACTTTCAAAATATTTTCTAATAAAAAAGTATCATAAAAAAACGTGTGAATTTCAGGGTAAGTTCTCTTTCTTCCATGTAAATAAACAAATAAATATTTTCTGGCGTTTTAAAGATGTGCCACCTTCTGTGACTTTAGAAATGAAGCGTGATTGTGATTCCAAAAAATGTTAACCCAATAACCTCGATTCAGGCTAAGCCCAAAAGAAATAGGAAATCTTCATGACTATACTAATTGCCCCGCTTGCAGTATATAATATATAGTATATAGTACGTCCGAGATCTGTTGACTCTTTCAGCTATCTAGTCTGGGTGCAGTTCTGGGCGCAGGTTCAATGACTTGACCACAGGAAGAGGTTGGTGCTGGTGCTGGCAGTCAGTCGCCTTTGGTTGCGCCCACCTGCAAACTGGTTTTGGCCTAGAAAAAATTGCATATTGCAAATTATGGAGCAGCTGGCCTTTGTCTCTGGTTAGTGATTGCCGTTTTCTGGCCCCTGGCTGTCAAGATCTCAGCCTCATCCTTCAGCGCATCATGATCATGCACAGTCGAACCGTTAGATCTAGTGCTAACTTCCGCTATTAGCCTAAGGTAAACATCTAAATGGTAATTAACAGGCATAGTACTAAAAACATAAAACGTAAGCTTAACTAAAAAAATTGTAATAAATAATAAAGATTTGAAAAATGGGTAGTAATAAATTTTAAATCGTGTTAAATAATAAAGATTTGAATTATGGGTAATGTAAGTTTCAGATATTAGTAACCTTATACATAATAGTTTTAAAAAATAACATTATTAATGATTACCCATTGTGAGTCAAGATCACGTTCAGCTTTCTAGTTAACGATCAATATGTTCAGTGGCGATTAAGATTTTGTATTTATTGGTAAGACGTTTTTCGTCGGCTTAATTCTAGAGTGTGCAAAGTATGAAACTAACATTTAGGCTGGCAGTCTGGCGGTTCTCCCTTACTCCTCCTCAGTAGCCCTCGATCTGGCGGCAGGCTCCGTAGCTGTCCCGCCGCTCGCCGCGGGCACAGCGTGCCAGTCCGTCCCGGAGGAGGGTCCGCGACTCGGCCAGATCGTCGTCATCGGCCAGCAGGTCAAAGCTAACGATCTCCGGCTCCAGGGCCTGTGCCCTGGTGGGCTCCTCGTCCAGCTGCCAGGAACGTGACTGATCGGCAAAGTAGGTGGGTGCATCTATGGGTGGGTACAGGCCATTGGCGCCGCCTCCAAGATCGCTGCGGTAAATGGGAGCACTGATGGAGCGCGGACTGGCGAAGTCGCCGCCAGTCAGACGATTGGTATTCAGGTAGCTATCGCCCCTCAGCGAGCGGGAACTGCGAAAGTATTGCGATCCCGGATGGTTGTAGCTCTCGAGCAGATTGGAGCCACTGCTGCTGCTGCTGGCGGAAACGGGGGGCAGGGCCTGGATCAGCTCCGGTTCGGCCTCCAAGTGATAGGGTTTAATCAGTTGCGGCATGGGTATCAATTGGGGAGGCAGTACGTCCACCTGCTGGCGCTGCAGACGCTGTGCCTGCTCGGGATCGCTGGCCGAAATGTCCACGTGATAGGGCGAGCGTCCCTCAATGAATTCCGGCAGGGGCAGCGCTGGCGAGGATTGGTGATGGTTCTGCTGCTGCTGCTGCTGCTGTTGTTGCAGCTTCTGGAGGTGGCTCTTCTGGTAGAAGGACTTCAGGGAGTTGCTCCTCAACGGGTGCTTGCGCTTGAGGGCTCCAGGCCCCTTGGTGTTACCACGGCCCAGCAGTTCCAGCAGGCTGATCCCCTCCTGCGGTCCGGGCGGAATCAGCAGGATCATAAAGTTCTCGAGATCAGCGCGTATATTGTACTGCCCCTCCTGCCGCTGATCGTAGGTGACGGTACGCCGACGCAGTGCCTCCTCATCTCCGCTGGAGGAGGGCAGAGGAGGTTGTAGTGCTATGGGTTGGCCACTGGATCCGCTGGATTCGATGGCCTGCGGCGGAGCCATGGCCGGAAAGTGCTCCTCCTTGATGATCTGCGTCTGGGTCTGGGCATGGGTCTGCTCGGAACTAAGAGCCGGTGGGGTAGATAGCTCCGTTGTGGAGCTCAAGGGATTGGCCAGAGTGGCCGCCAGCAGCAGCGGCAGTAGCGTGAAAGTCTTCCAGGCCATCTCTCCTTTGATTGATTTCAGATAGGTTGCTCCGCTCGGCGTTCTTGACTCGCGCGCTTCTGCCTCGCAACTGATTCCCAGTCCGACGGGAGAGTTCCGATGTCGGCGCAGGCGCAACTTTCATATTCTGGCGCTGGCGTCGTCGGTGCACTGAGAAAAATATTAATAAGTACTATCGGTTCTTTATCTTTAATTGCTTGACTACCCACGAACCATTATTGTTATCCATATTTATCAAGGCTTGAGAAATAGTAAAAAGTACTAACCCCTAAAATGTGAAAACAATACGCCTTATTAAAATGCATAGTTTTAAAACATTAATCATTTAATATATATTTTAAAATTGTTAGAAAAATCAACAATATATTATTTGTCAATTTGAATTACGCTTTTTTTTTATCAAAAAGGAAGAGTGTATATTTATTTAGGTCTATTTTATAATGTAAGTCTGTATAAATCGTACTTGCTTTATTGACAATATCAAATCATATGTTGGTTTGATGTTCGTTTTGGTAAAGTTCGTTTTGTGTTGAGATCAGTGAACCGTAAAGTCCAAATTTAATATCAATCTAAAAGGTTTAAAAAAAGAAAACCTTTTTTAGGCAATTTTAAAATTTTTTTAAAAAAAGATTAGTTTTTGATATTAATTAATTAAATTAAAATAACTATTATGATATAGCCTTTGTTAATATTCGGAATAATAAAAACATTTTTGTTTTGTTATTATCATATGTTTTAAAAAGTTTTATGATCAAAGGCCAAACAATTACCTTTAATTTATAAACATTTCGCTGAGTGTAACTCCTCTGCTGCTGCGGCTTTCTTCGCTCTTCTCGATGCTCGGTTCTCGTTCTGGTTTTGCTTTTATTTATGCCACTTACTTTCGGACCGTCTCTTTTTGTTCGGCCGTGCCCATTTCGACGGCGTGACTTGGTAGCCGGTGTCCATCTCCGTTTATTGATATTGCCCAGCCGTTAGGCGGGGTGTGGCGGTGGTGGAGGAGGAGGAGGAGGTGGAGAAGGTGCCGCTGTCACCGCGGTTCCCATCGCCCGGCACAGTGGAGCTCGCAGTCGATTTTCACGCCAATTAGCTAATGAGGAAGCGCTTTGTTCCCCCATTGACTAGGCTAACAGCCACATCACGTACGCATCCCAATCTCAGCGTCTCAGTGCCCGCTGTCACCTGAGCAAACGATATAAATCCGATCATGAGGGTTCTATTAAAATGATTTGTGCCTTCGCCAAACATAGGTGCAGCATTTATGTACTCACAGGTGCGGTCATAAATAAAGTTCTACAGATTCTGACCATAAGATTAGGCGAACAGCAGACGAATTCAAGAATATATATGTTTATGGATATTAAGGCATTTAAAAAGGGCAAAGATAATAGCCCAGAGTAGTCTCTATATATAATATCATATACTTTATTTCTACTAAGTTAAAGAAATATTAATTTTGTTAAATAAAATGTTTCAGTGATCGACGTCTCTGATTTACCAATGGAATAGTAAGGATAAATAAAATACAATCAAATAAAGACATTCATACATTGCGATTAAAAGTTATTATAAAAATAAAATTATTAAAATAAAAACAACAATTTTTTTTTACTATTTTTGAAAATGATTTTTATATTCGAAAATTTAATTTAAATAAAAATCATATTAAACTTAAATATAATTCTTTTATAGCTAATATAGTTCATTATTATTTTTTTCCATTTAATATGCATTGTATATTAATTTTCCATTTCCATTTCCATTTCAGTTTTTCATCAGTTTTGTTATACCCCGATGTCCTTTAACATGACCTGCTAAAAACACTTTCTCACAGCTTTATTAATGTGGTCCGATAACAAAATTCCCATTCTACTTGGAATTTGTTTTTTTTTTAATTTAATCTGATTTTAAATTTTAAGTGTGATTGAGGACTTTCAGCTGTCATCATGGTATACAAATGTTTTTTTAAGCAGGCAAAAAGGTTACTTATGATCTGTAATCTCGATAAAAGGGGTCAGCGGATAGTCATAAATCAAATGACGATCTCATTTTAAAACTCGGTTTGAGCATTTCAAAATATTTTGTTTTATTTGTATACTGTCTTGTGTTTTACAAAATGTGAGGGGCGAGGAAGCCCGGGATTCTGGCGGGTACATGAATAGATTTCATACAAAATAAAGCGTGCAGTGGCGCTATGGACGACGTCACACATTACAGTTGAATGACATTGGGATTTGCTTTAAAAATAATGATTCTGTTTATGTGTTTAGGTAATTAGAGGTCTTTGCGGTTATTTTAGTTAAAAACGTTGCTGCCGTGCGTATGTGTGTGTGTGTGTGTATTTGCTTTTGCCGAGCAGTTAAAAGTAATACAATGGAAATAAATAAAGCATAGCGCATGGAATTCGATTATGTCTAGACGAATATAAAACATTGAATTATCGGTTGCTAATTTAAGGTCAGCGGAAGCGAGCGTTGTCTTTTTAGGATTGTTTTGAGGATTATGCGTAACCTTTGCAATACAATTAGAAATCTAAAGGCTAGAATAAGTTATAAACTGTTCTGTTCTTGCATAATTGAGTTTATGGACTGGAACTTGTCTGGCCGCCACTATAAACCTATCAACTAATACTTATTTGATATCTTAGCAGCAGATCAGATCACTTGTCATCCTTACTTGTATAATTGATCTACTGTGGGTCAATAGAGTTTGAATTCAATAACGTCAAGTTGGGATTAAGCTCTAGAGTTTTAGAATTATCATTGGAAGAGAGCATTACATAAATAGTCATTGAGGAAAAGCCGAAACAAGCTTCAATATAACTGTAGCACTAGGATAAAGTCAATTTTTAAGTATATTCTAACTAAGACAAATTATACATAATCTCACAAGAATTGTTTAACTAAACAGCCTCCACGATGTACAGAAAACTTGCAAATCAACTCGCAGCTAAATACAAAATCGCGCAATCCGATGCCCTAATCCTTTTTCTTCAACAACTCCTCGTGCTGTTGTTTCTCTGGCTGTCCGATCTCTTCTGCCAGCAAAGTCTTCCCCTTGGACAGCATCTCCTCCTGAGGCACTCGTTTGTGAACAGTGAAGCAGACCCGGTTGAAGTGCTCGCACATCTGGTTCACCACACTGGCTCCGTACTGCCAGTGACTCAAGGTGGTCACTATGAGGAGCATGTACAGCAAAGGTCTCTCCAGCAGCGGCAGCCACAGGCTGACTAGGAAGGACATGGCGAACATGGGCGTTTGCCAGTGCCACGCTTCGCATCTCGTCACGGACATTTGGGAGACAATCAGTCGGCACTGAAATATATAAATTTAAAATAAATAATTAAAATCGGTCATTCGTTCTTAAACCCATTTAAAGCCATCTATTTTTTGCTGTTGGAATTATATTTGATCTAAACTGACTTAAATTTGTAATAACTTGGAATCTTAAAGAATTGAACTGCAAAATGGTCTAGCGTTTGAGTTTGTTTCTCAAAATTTGCTCAATCATTGGATCGTTCTCGTGGGGGAAAACGAAAGTGCCGCGGTCTCGTTTCAGATAGCGGTAAGCCCTGTCCGAGTACCAGCCGTAGATCTGGTTGACCGTCATCGGTTGCGGCGTGCCGTGTTTCATCTCGAACTTTTCCTCCACTCCCTCATCATAGCTAGCTATTTTCCGCTCATTTTGCAGCGACGCCGGGTCGAGCTTCTCGCGTATGCGACGCACCTCCTGACTCGTGCAGTTAAAATACGGCCAGTCGTGACGGGCATAAAACTTCAGGGACAATGGACGCTCATATTCCGAGGCGGTCGTGTATATGGTATCCTTCAGTGATTCGCGGCCGCCTTCGTTCGACTTTTCCAACTCCAAGTCCTTGGCACAGCGCCGACCACCACAGCAAAAGGGTGGCATTTCGAACTGTTTTTCCCTGTGTGCGTTTTATCACATTAAAATATGACTCATTAAATGTAGTTTGCGGCTATTTGGCAGTAAAGTCCGAGCCAGGGGGTCGGAAAAAGATGGAGACACACCCGCCTCTTATCTAGATTGAATGTGATTCAACCAACACGCGACACAGTTTGATAAGTGGAGTGGAACAGCATGGTGACTGATTACACTATTTTGCTAGCAATACAATACAAAATTTTAAACCAATCTGTCGAATTAAAAAACAATAAGAATGACAAGTAATCTAAAAACTTATTGTTTTTTTTCACAAAAATGAAATTGAGAGAATTCCAAAATAGTCATATGTTTTAAAAAATATATGACACTGTATAAAATTGATAATCATATCGTATAGATTAAGCTTAATATTTATGCCACTCATTTAAAGTACTTACGCTGACATTGGAGAAGATGGTTCCGCTCAGCATGAATAAGGCGCGCGGATCCTTTTCCATGATGTCGTTCGGCGAGACATATGGCCAGACCAGCAGGATGACGAAGAAGGTGAGAAACGGCCACATGGGCCTAATGGCCTCCCAAAAGGACAGCATGCGTCCAGTGCGATGCGCATAGGAGCTTAAAATTGATGGCTGTTAAAAAAAAGAGAACTAACCAAAATTTAAATGTAAGACCTACTTGTACACATTAATGATGACTAGGGGAAGATTGGCCATGGCACTGACATGCAGCACAGCCTCCATAACATTGCCCAAGGGCAGGGTGCCGTAGGATCCCAGCGGCAGCTCGAACTTCCAGCGCTCGAAGCCCATCCACCAGGTGACCAGATACATGGCCGTGCTGCCCCACATGCTGAGGTCATAGCCCCAGGGCAGGTACAATATGCCCGTATTGTACTTCTCCCAGTGAGAGACGAAGAAGTTGAAGTAGACCGTCAGGCAGACGTAGTACATCCTCATGGGCCGCACCGAGTACACCCGGCTCCGGCCGAAAATACTATACAGGCAGGTCGGAATCAGCATGGCCGTGTACGAATCCAGTCCATGATCGAAGAGCTCCCCCAGCGGACCAGACAATCCAATCCTTCGCGCCTGCTTGCCATCGATACCGTCCAGCGTGTAGGCCAAAAAGATGTTGACTGCCGTGCAGAGCCACACCCACGAGGGTATGGGCGTGGATCCCTCCTCCCCGGAACTGGCCTCAAAGTTCCAGTCATAGTATGACAGCAGCACCAGGTTCATGGCGCCGAACAGGAAGCCCAGGAAGGTCATCAGGTTGGGCGCAAACCAGCGCGGGAAGAACTGCAATGGGTGGTTGGGTTGATTAGTGGATTGCCCCCTTATGAGTATTGATTTTTGCATGATATAATCTACCTTGACTAGCCAATTCCAAAAGGGATGCATCACATATTGACTCAGTGGGGAAGTGTCGATGGCACTGTACTGTAAATAGAAATTTCTGATTAAAGGAGGCAATTCTGTGGTTGTAAGTAAAAATTTATATGATTAAAGAGGCGGAATCTCATCCGTTTAACGACTATTTCAATGGCTTTGGCTTTCTTTTCTTTTCTTGCTTTATTTCGCTTTGTCTGGGTTCCGCTGCTGGCTTTCTATAAAAAGAATTTTAATTGAAAACAAGTACGGGAATACCGAGAACTGGTTTTGGTTTTGGGTTTGGGTTTTGGTTTTCTTTGGCATTAAGAAGGTCACCCCCTCTTGAAGGAAGGTACAGCCGCCGCTGTACATATATCCTTCTTTTAGATCCTTTTTTGCCCACCTTGTAGTTGTCGAATCCATTAATATGGGCCTGCGTCAGATATTGGGTGTCCGTCAATCGTCTGAATAGCTTTTGCATTTTGTTATTGATGTTTTTCGGGGGGCTACAAGTCGAAATCGGGATTTTTAAGTATTTTTAATCTAAACGGAAAAACACGCGATGGGAGGCGGGGGTTTTTTTGATAAACGCAACGCCTGAACGCTTCCGACCGTTAATTAACTGAATGGCCAAATCAAAACATGATGACTGAAACTGAACGTAAACCGAACTCGAAGCGAAAATGCAGGGCACGACTTTCAGCTTTGGCTGGCGTTTATTTTTATTGCGAAAACTATTTCTTTTCTGCCGCTGCTGTTGCCGCCGCTGCTGCCGGCTGTTTTTTTCACGCTCTCACACACACACCGACCAACACTGACGCGCTTTAGTGGGGATGTTTTCCAACACTGCAGTCGCACAGCTGTGAGCACGAAAATAGTTCTGCCGCCAAATATAATTTTGAAAAATTAGTTAGTTAGTCCACTAGTCGTGATTAAGATCTTTGCACAACAAAGAAAGAAGAAACATATATATCGTTGTTTTCTAAGCTTTAAAAACATCTTAATAAAATTATTTGGTTCTTTCTATTCTAAAATCATTACAAAATTTCAAGAAGAATTTATTGGGATAGCTAAAAAAGTAGATTTTTTTTTTATTTTTTACTTTTTAATTGATGTTGTTTTTTTTTAAAGTAAATGACACACTTCTAACGCCATGAGCTTCAGTTCTACTAGTCCCTTGACCACATTTGTTCATATATAACACTATTAATTTTTAATCAATCATGCAATTGTGTTGCACTTGCCTTATATGCAAAGCAATTCAAAATTTATTAACGACAGTGAGCTCCGCATGTAAATGCGCTGTAAATTGCAGGAGAGAAGAAAATAATGTTGCTTTAATAATAAAAATACAAATTTATGTTTAAAACTGTATGGATGGGCTTTATTTATTGTAAGGACGTTTCGAAAAATTCGCGTTACAGTTAACAAATCACATTGTTTACAAAAAATACAAAAGAATGCACATATATATGTATAAATAAGTCTAACTAATTTGCTTAACAAAATGTGTCTTAATTAAATGTGGGGAGTGTGAAACAAAATTTAATTAATAAACTCAACGGCTATTGCTACTGCAGATGCAATTAGTTAGCTCTTTTCAGTACGCTTCCTGACTGGTATAGTTGCCCTAATAAATTCGCTACGCATGCCAATAGATCGGTTAATTTTACGGTTCCTAATTTGACTTTTTGAGATTCTTTTTGCGTATATTCCCGGGACAACCGCCGGCACTGAGAAGGTGTAATTTCCAGCCGCCATCCTGGGGCAGATGCACATCGTCATGACACAAAGGACATCGGGCAGCTCCCGTTTTCAGTTCTGGAGAGAAGTTATAAATTATATATAGTAATAAACGGTATATTGCAATATCGGGGTCCTACCCCGACAATAGTCCTCCATCTGATGCAACTCGTAGAGCTGCTTGTGCACGGATTCAGTGCAGCGGGCACAGACCACATAGCTCTCCTTGGCATCACATTCCGCTGTGGAATGACAATTTTATTTATTATATTGAACTATGAAAGGGTCCTTAATACTCACTAGTCAGGTGGTAGTTGAGGGCGGCTACCTCCAGCACTTGACTGCATTGTGGGCACTTGGTGAGGAACGGACAGGCCTTCCAGTAGTGTCGGTCCAACTGGCTAGCGTCACTGCCAACACACGACCAGTCGCAGAAGGGGCAACGTCTATTAAAATGTACACACAAATGTAGCTCATATAAAACCGTATAATTTTCTCAAAAGCGAAAGGAAACATTACATTTGTAAATTTCGAAAATTGATTTTAAACAAAATTTTGAAATTATGAATACCCAAAGTTTCAAGCTCTAAAAATATTATTTTAATAAAGTAATTACTAAATTTCAGTAAAAAATAAAAATTATTCCCCAGAGGCACATTATTATTTATCGTATTTATCTAAAAAATCTTTCAAAAGAGCGAATTTTTGTTAATTGACTAAATAATGAAATAATAATCCTAACAAAATACTTGTTTAAGTTTTAAAGTCTTGTCATTGATGATTTTTAATTACTCACATCTTAGGTGAATTATCTTCAGTGGACTCCGAGTTGGAAGCGGATCCCTTGCACGAGTTGGATACGGATAGCATGGAGCGCTTCAGCTGCTCGTTGTACTGCTGTTTTCCATTGCAACTCGCGTATCCGTTGTTGGAACTGGCCACTGGGCCGAGACCATGTCCACTCCGGCTGGTCATCAGCCGAGAAGCATCCGAGCTGGTTGAAGCCTTATCCGCTGGCGGAGTGGCCGCATCCCCCGAGCTATGACCGCCGCCGTATTTGTTGGCCTCCAACAGCTCCTGCTTGCGATCCAAGTCCAATTTGTCAAACTCGGTGAAGAGTTGGCGGTAGAGGAGATTGCGGCGCGTGATGTCGTCATCCGGAGGCAGTTGTTTGCGCACCAGGCGGGGATTAACCTTGTAGACGAGCAGCAGGATGCGTTCGGCCACCTTTCGCACAGGCTCCGCCGGATGATGGATGCCGGAGCAGCCGCACTCGGACAGTGCCCTGCAGGTGAGCCCACTGTGCTTGTCCGTGCTGATGCCCTGTGTGTGCACCAGTTGCTCCAACATCTGCAGCCGGCTCATGGCCAGTCGCTGGTGGGTTCCAGATCCAACGCTTCGCGACAGTGCCGGGGCAACCAGGTGCTGCTCCGCTACCTCCGGACACGCGGCGATACTTAGGATCGTGTGCTGGGCCAGGGTGTGCAGTCGAGCCGATGGATCACCGGACTTGGCCAGCAGTTCGGGCAGCAGGCGGTCCACACAGCGAGCCACCTCGTTGGGCGAAACTCGACCGGGCACGTACTCCAGGAACAGCATGCGCACCGTTTCCGTGGCCTGGCCGAATACGGAGTAAACGGCGTCCCTCACGGCGCGATGGAGGAGCAGGGCTGCACTGCGGGCCACTTTGTTGGGACTTGCGGCATGCTCGTTGCCCGAAACGTCCTCCAGGTCGTGATCCTTGAGAAAGGTGCGCAGGCGCAGCAAGCCATCCTCTCGATCCTGAAATTGACGTGAATAGAACTGCTCCACCTGGAGAATAAAGAGAAGTAAGTAAAAAACTAGAAAAAATACTTTTTAAAAATTGATTTAAAAATTTTAGGCTTAAATTTTAAGAATAAAGATTTAATTTAACTAGAGAAATCGAATTTTTCACACGAATAAGAAAAGTATATTAGGAAGATCTCAAGAACTCGCGGTTTGTGAGGAATAATTATTCAAGGACTTTGTAAAAAAATATCTTTTAAGGGATCCAAAAAATGTTCTAGTACTATTGGAACTAATAAACATGTTATAAGCTTTTTTCAAAAACATGTTATAGTTCTTAGCATAATATATTTTAATGGACTCACCAACTCACTGCCGAAGACCAGGATGGGTAGGGCTGCCTGGCGGCGTTCGCGGTCGTTCAAACGCGAACGTCCCCGGTTAGGATCCGCTTCCAAAAGCGCGTTGCCTTGGCACTCCCTTAAAAATTCATTAGTATTTGAACTGTGAGCGGTTTGTGTTTTGTGGTATCGAAATGGCAACGTTTACGGATGCGGTTACAATATATAGGAGTAGAAAAGTAAGTACATTTAAATATAAATCAACAGGAAATGAAGGCTTGCTTCGGCTACCGAAGCTTAGTGTATTTTAAATTAAAATATAGTTTATACTTCATCTTAACCCAGAATCGTTGCTACTTTTAAGTAAACATGAAAATACCCTTTAAGCATTGTTGAGAAAATTCCTGAAAACATCACCCAATATATTATTCACAAAAGCAAAAATAAATAACTTTTTTTTTATTAATTAGCTAAAAAAGAAGTCATTTTTAAATTATTCCTTATAATTTATACATTTTTAGCAAAAAGTCTTACAAAATATTGTATTGTTTTACTTTTAAATACCGATTTTAAAGTAAATTCTATGACAACATAGAAAACACTTCTCCAGACGAAGCTAAACGACCTTAAAAATAAATTTTGTATATGTGTTCTACGAAATAATTTAAAATTTAAAAAAATCGGACCGTTATAGTTGATCTTTCGCTAGTGTTGACAAACATTCAAACTAAGACTACGAAAAACGTGTCGTCATGCAACACTGTAATCGACAGCTGTGTAAACAAAAAGTAATTAATTACTATTCCACAATTGTTTACCTATTTGACAGACAACTAGACAACGATTACGCCGCACTCTACACTTGGTACTCACTGTCGCAGCGTGGGAATGGCCCGCTCCTCGTAATCCTCGTAGGAGTTCCGCGGAACGCTCTTGTTACGCCTGCGCAGCGATCCCTGGCGACTGGACATGGGTGAACTGTGCCGCGAGGGCAGCCGCGGCGACTGGGGCAGCTCATCGTGTGACTTGCGCCAGCCGCCCAGCGAGGGAGTGGGCGTGGCCTGCAGGGAGGTGGGCGCAGGAGCGGGAGCAGGAGTGGCCACCACACTATCATTACCAGGCTGTCCCTGCGAGCCATCCGTGGAGGACTTGTCGTCCAAACTGAGACTCGTCAGGCTCTTGGGACTGTAGGTGGCTTCTGCCAGGGCCTGGGCCACATCCTGGAGACTCGGAGCGGCCGGCAGACTGGGCTTACCGCCGGCATAGATCTCACAGCTCTGGTCATTGGTGCCGAGTGCCACGCCCTGCGGTTCCAGCAGCTGCTGCACCTGCAATTGGCGCAGCACGGCTGCCCTGTACATCTCGATCTGCTCCTTGCGCAGCCTCGCCGTGGTGAAGTCCTCCTGCTGGACAGCCTGCCGTTTGGCCAGCGCATAGCGTCCCAAACGCTCGCCGGCGCTCCTCAGAGCGGTCATGCAGAGCTTTAGTTTGCGGGCATACTCAAACCGTTCGGCATTGACGGCCAATACCTTGCGCTGCTCCAACTCCCGGATGGACTGCACAATTGACTCCTCCACGTACATGGAGAAGAGCAGGTCGTCGCAAATGGAGGCCAGGGCCAGTTCCCCGGTAGCCGTGTCCAGCGGTGGTGCCTCGTTGCTCAAGTGTTCCTCTCCATTGCCATTGGTTGGCCCCACTTCCAGATCCTCGCCAAGGACATTCACAGCCAGCAGCGAGATCTGACCCGTGCCATTGTAGTCGTTGCCCTGCACGCCAATCAGACGCAACTTGAGGTGGGTGCCCCGCCGGGGACACACGGTGACGCTCTGCAGCTCCCGCGACTTGTAGTTGGTGTTCGCATTGTCCGCCAAGGCAACGAAGCCCAGGAAGTCAAAGTACTGCGAGGATGGAGTGCTGGGCAGGGATTTGGGCGAGTAGTGCAGCCAGAGCTCCACTTTCTCAGCTGTGGAAGAATATGGAAATATTGATTGGGATATTATTAAGATCGCAGTCAGTTACCAAAAAATAACTTAATAAATATTACATTACTAGCATTTTTCAGTAAGTTCAATCAAAAATGAGCAGTCCCATATATCTTTACATTAAATTTACTGTACAATTGGTTAATTCGACCAAAGAAACTTTTATCCTGGCAAGATTAAATATTCAAATATGTGCATATTTTATTCCCAAGTTAATATTTTTCTTTATGTTCTTTCAGCACATTCCAGTTTAATTGAAAGACAACTCTATTCACTTACGTATAAGATACTGGTGGGCCAGAAGCTGTATCCGGTAGATCTTTGCCGGCTGCTGAAAACGGAGTATAATGTCATGCGAGTCGAGCCCGCAGTCCGGAGCACTCCGCCATCCGTGAACAGTGGGTCCGTGATTGTTAAGCTCGCTGGCCGGAAAGTTGACGTCCTCATCTGAAAGCACACAAAGTGATCAAGTCATCATTACTTGGCTCTGAGTAATAAAATAAGCGGACAGGTGACATTTCTCTTATGTGGACTCTTTTTTTTGCATTCTAAGCTAAAATGTTCCCCTCGGGATTATGATAACATTCTCTTATTCACTTCTCTTTTGTACTTTAAGCTCTTTTACAGATGCGGGCAAAACAAAATAATTAAACAATGTTCTACAAAATTATGATCAATTAATAATGGTGTACAAATAATAAGCCATTTCTTTCTAAAAATTAAATTTTTAATTTAAAAACTTCCGGAAAAGAGTATTCAAGCAAGATTCATTAAAAACACATAAATATCTCATTTAAATTAGAGTAAGAGCTTCAAGTCGATTGTTAAAAGTAGTTAGCTAGAGCTGTTATTTTGACCACAGCTGTATTGCCATATCTCACATGTTTTTCTCTCTTTCTCTCTATCTCTATCTCCAGGTTCCACGTTCTATGTTTTGTATTTAAGCGATGGCGAGCTGTATGTGCTAGTTTAGTCGTCACTCAGCCGCTCGTACCGTGCCCTGTATCTGAGATAGTACAACTAAACTTCGGCATCTGATAGTATAAATAACTGACTTAAAGTCTATTAAAAAAAGAAACGAAAACAACGAAAAATGCCGGAAGGTTATACGGGAGCCACGGCCTGGCTGCAAATCCAAAGCCTGCTGATTAGCGTAAATCACATGCTGATCTTTCTGGTGGCCGCCTTCTTTTTCGTCCTGGCCCGCAGTCTGGAGTTTCAGGACACGGCCATGCACATGTTCATGACAGGCATTGGAGTGAGTACATTGCGATAAGCATTCGGCCACATAATCAATAATGTTAGATTGACCTGGATAAGGGACACACTTGTTATCTTATCGAAGCATTTAAATTTAAAAGGCTTTCTCTTTTTTTTGAACAGTTCCACGTCCTAATTGCGCAGGCCATGATGTCACACTCCAAAGTTAATCCGCTCACCCGCTGGCTGTCGCATCGCAACAAGTCGCGTTTCCACGCCATCCTCCAAATTGTGGGTGGCTCCATGGTCCTGTTGGGCGCCCTGGGCAAGTTCTCCAGCAAGGAAGTGCACTTCAACACCTGGCACGGCCGAGTGGGTGAGTATATAATTGGGTTTTTAGTTGCCTATGCTTCGAGTTAACTAACGAAACTGACAATTTCTAGGTGGAGCAGCTGCCTTTGGCTGTGCGGCCAGCATAGTGGGCGGCTTTGTCAACTATTTCCAGCCCAAGTTCGCCCTGAAGATGTTTCCCCCTTCGGAGCTGCGTTTCCGCCACAACTTATTTGGTTTGGTCACCTTCAGCCTGGGTATGGGTGCCATCTACCTGGGCTACTCCTCGAAGTTCTTCACGAAGTTTGTGGACAATGACTTTATTCCCGGCATGATGCTGATCACTGCGTTGGTCTATGTGCTAACCATGATTTCCCCAGTGTCATCGCTCCTGACTAAACTTAAATACAGGTCCAAGAAAAAGGCAGAGCAGGCCCAATAAGCAATTCTGGCTGAGGCCACGGAGGCTAACCGGAAAGTGTCAGGTCCTAGTACAAAAATAAAGAGCTTGGCGTCTAGCCAAATTGAAACTTCTGGCCGCCGCTCTAATTGCATATGCAGACGCAGAAAGAGTCGACAACCGGCAATCTGTCAATATTATAATGAAATATTATGGTCATTGCGGTTGCAGTGGTTTTAGCCCGTGGTAAATTGGCCGAGACTATAGAGAATTGATTTAGCTGCTAATAGAATTTAAAATCCGAATATTGTCAACAGATTAGCTGCGGGTAAAAGAGCAGCGACGTTCCATTTTAAATCCCAACGTCCTGGCGCACTAGGCGTATGCGTGTTTTATCGATTTCTCAAGTGCAGTGGAGCTCAAAAGGAGTATGGGAGGTAGAAAAACTGCTCCCTTGGTCAACTCCAGACGCAACTAAAAATACAATTATAAACGTAAGGAAAACATAAAATAAAGAAAACAAATAAGCAAACTATGGCATGCAAATAAAGTCTATTTGCTGTTTTGCGTTTGAAAATACCCCAACGATTGTTTACCTGAGGCGAACACCACGTTGAAAGGTATTTTCTTGGCCATGTTGACGACGTCAAAAGCGCACAACTATGCCTAACTCACTGGCCAACACGCACATAAAGACCACAATTTGATTTAGCGAACTAAACTGTCACAAAGTTACAGGAAATTCCTATACAAAATAGTGGTGGAGAATCATCGATGTTTTGAAAACATCGGTTTCATCGATGTTTGGCGGGGCTGCCGATTTTCAACCATTCAGTTTTGTAGAAAGTTAAGGGTTTATAAGAACTTTATACTGCGTCCCTGCATCTTTGTGCAAGTCGAGAAGTGTATTCAGTCAGACTGGCCAACGACTGTTCTACTTTTGTGAACAAGCTTATATTTTTAAGCAAGAACATTTACATAAATTTGAATACAAATTCTGTTAAAACAAAAATTTTATTTCAAACGTCTGCAAATTTCGATGATTCTCGACCTCTATTGCAGAACCCGCGTTGCCAACTAGGCGAAAGTTATCGATTAATGAAATCGATTCACCGACAGCTGTTTCATATTTTACACTTTCCAACACTTCTCTAATTGGTATTAGAATTATTTACACGGTTTGGAAAAATTATAGCCATGCCAACAAGTGCCCATAAATATAGTATACTGCTGCCCACCTACAACGAGAAGGACAATTTGCCCATTATAATATGGCTTATTGTGAAATACATGAAGGCCAGGTGAGCAGAGGCTTCTTTAAAGCGTTAAAACAGGCATTTAAAGTTCTTCCCGTTGCAGCGGTTTGGAATATGAGGTGATTGTTATTGATGACGGCAGTCCGGATGGAACGTTGGATGTGGCCAAGGATCTGCAGAAGATTTACGGTGAGGATAGGATTGTCCTGAGACCGCGGGGCTCCAAATTGGGACTGGGCACGGCCTACATACATGGCATTAAACATGCCACCGGGGACTTCATTATTATCATTGATGCGGATTTGAGTCACCATGTGAGCAGAGATAACAGATTGAAGTTAACGAAACTAATGTGTATAAATACCGCTACAGCCTAAGTTTATACCCGAGTTCATCAAGCTGCAGAAGGAGGGAGACTACGATATTGTATCCGGCACTCGGTATGCCGGTAATGGAGGCGTCTTTGGTTGGGACTTCAAGCGCAAGCTCATCTCGCGTGGCGCCAACTTTCTGTCCCAGGTGCTTCTGCGTCCGGATGCCAGCGATCTGACCGGCTCCTTCCGGCTCTACAAGAAGGACGTCCTGGAGAAATGCATCGCCAGTTGCGTGTCCAAGGGCTATGTCTTTCAAATGGAAATGCTGGTGCGGGCCAGACAGCATGGCTACACCATTGCCGAGGTGCCCATCACCTTCGTGGATCGCATCTATGGCACCTCTAAGCTCGGCGGCACCGAGATCATCCAGTTTGCCAAGAACCTGCTGTATCTGTTTGCAACCACATAAAGAACACCCACCATCAACTGAGTAGATTTTTAAATTTTTAATTTTCTTTGGATTTCCTTTGCTTTGTACATTTGGTAAGATTTGCTCAAAGAATTTTACATACATCTAATGAATTATGCATGAGAAATTTGTTTGCCATATTTATAATAATTCCAGAGTTCCCCCCGGTAGACTTCATTTATAATTTGAATAATGATAACTAGCGTTAATTGATTTAATTACTCAAGTCGAAAACTTTGTGCTGGTTGTCCGGATTGCCGTACAGAGTGCCGCAATCATCGTCCAGGGCGTCGCCCGATCCGCCGCCGTAGTTCTTCAAGGCCAGGGTCAGCAGGGAGTTGCGATCCTTGAGGGCCAGCACCACGAAGGCTCCGTTCGGCAGGATCTCACAGGTGCTCACCTGCGCCGGCGGCTTGAACACGGCCAGGGATTTGGCTGCAGGAGAGGATTGTTAAGCTATTTTTGGATCAAAAGAAGACGGAGACTAAAGGGCTTACCCGAGTTCAACTCCCACATGCGGACGGCCGTGTCACGTCCTTCTTTATCGTAGGAGAGCAGCACCTTGCCCAGCGGATCCAGCTTCAAGAATGTCACTGGAGCATTGTGGCCGACCAGGGTGCTCTTGCAATTGCCCGTGACCAGATCCCAGATCAGAATCTTGGCATCCTCCAAGCCGGCGATGACGCAGGCATTTACCTGGGAAATGGCCAGGCTGACGGTGTTGCAGGTGGGCTTCCACTTCTTGAACAGGGTGCCGCTCTGCAGGTCGTACACCACAATGAAGTTGGGCGTCGTCGGCTCGTTCAGCTCCTTGGCCACCACGCTGACGTAGGAACCCTCGTGTGTGATGGCCGACAGGGAGGTGAGGAAGTCGTGGTGGGGGATTCGGAGGTCATAGAGCAGCTTGCGCTGCGACAAATGCCAGACGAGCAGTGGGAAGGGCTTCTGGGTCTCATCGCCGCACACCAAGATCCTGGAAGTCAAACAAAAAACTAAGGAACTCCTACAATTTGCCATTTTTGCGGTTAGTTACCGTCCGTCTCCAGAGACCAAAAGCGAGTTGAGGAAGCGATCCTCGCCTGCCTTGAAGGTGGTAACACAGTCGCCCGACTCCAGATTCATCAAGTTCACATACATCCGGTTGCGGGACAGGCAAACCAAGTGGTTCTGATCGTGCAGACCGAAGTACGGCATCTTTTGGTTCATTACGCCTTTGAGTGTGACCTGGAATTGGAAGGAAATTTTATATTGGTATGATTTTATGATTATTTTTACATTAACAAAACCTAAGGGGCCTCATATAAAATATTAAAAATGTCTGAAAGTATGCTACAATATATTTTGAGTCTGAAAGTCCGATGAATTCGTTTTGAATATATTTACAGCATACTTTTAGACACCTTTGCAGGTGATTTCAAAACCCTAGTGATTTCTATGGTACCAATATGTTACATTTTGTTAAATTTTCTTAAGTTAAATTTATAATAATCAAGTTATTAGTCAAAATCTTATGCTCACGCTTTCTAATTACTTTCTATTTATTTGCCAATTTAACTATCACTCACCTTAAACTTTCCCTCGTCCAGATTGATGACTCGGATCTCGCGACGGCACAGAACTGCTGCCTCATAGTTGCCCACTGGACACATCGCCGTCGGCTGCTGGATGCCCTGCAGCTCCCGGATGCGGCAGCAGTTCTTCACATCCCAGATGCAGATCTCAGCTCGCTCCGTGCACATGGAGGCCACATAGCAGCCGGACTGGGGCAGATTCATCAGGACGTCGTAGCCCTTTACCGGGGTCGCGGTTGGAGCATCCTCCTCCGACGGCTTCTCCTGCCCCTGATTGCCATTCTCCGCATCCAGATCCGCGTTCAGAATCTCAAGGAAGGCGAACTCCAGTTCGTTGGTGTACTCCCACCACGAGCGTATCTTCTCGTCGTCCTTCAGCTCCGGCGACTCCCTGAAGCGCGTCTTCAGGTAGTACTTCATCAGCGTGTAGAACTGCTGGCCGTCGTAGCTCAGCTCGTGCAGATACTGCTCGAGGAATTGCTTCAGCAAATGGATGTGCACGTAGCCGGTGGAGCAGCTGTCGCCGCCGGACTTGGCCAGCCACTCCGCCTGCAGGATGTCGTGGAGCAGGTGCTCCGGTCCCGTGGCGTGCACCTTGTTGGCGATCCACTGCAGGTCCGTAAAGTAAAAGCAGTTGAAGAGTATGTCAATCTTGTGCGGCGCCGGCTTGTCCTCGATTACGGCACAGAAGTGATGATAAGGCAGTTTTAAGTACTTTTGGTAATTGTAGCTGTGGGAGAGAAAAGATTATGAAATTTCATCTTTCAAATAAGGGTACTATTTGCTATGATATTACTCTAAAATATTATTTTGTAATGTTTTTTTGAGATGGAATTTATAATTTAAAATTTCGGCAAGTTAAAGCTGAAGAATTCGCAGTCTTAGCCATTGAAACAGACGTTAAAGTATAAAATAAATTGTTTTAAAATTGTTTTAGAATTTGCTATCAAAACAGATTTGTGATCTAAATAAATTGTTTAAAGGCGTACAAAAATACATAACTTTATAACTTTGCTTAAATGGTCATTTGTAAGAATACCTAAGATGGCCTAATTTAATTACTAACTACATTATTTCTAGTGATTTTGTTTTAATCAAATCATAGGAAGGAGACTCACGTGTTGGCACCCTGGCTACCCTTGAACTCGCTGTCCTGCCGGTCGAAGTAGTCCCGCAGCGCTTCATGTACCAGCCACTGCTTCTGCGCATACCTCGCCAGGACGGCGCGTCCAAAGCTCCTGTCCGCTATCCTAATATTCTTAAGACCTAAGAGCATTGGTCCCATCAGCCAGCAGAACTTGGACCAGACCTTGAAGGCGACCTGCGCCTCCAGCTGGGTCATTTTCTGGAACACCCCGAGGCAGTCGCTCTCGCGGATGCCCCACGGCGACAGCCGGACGATCAGCAGCAGCAGTTCCACCTGATCGGCGGCGAACTTGGACTCGAGCACCTGCAGTATCCGGCCGGAGATGTCCCCGATCTCGCTGATCGGCTGGGCCACATGCCCCAGCCAGGCCAGCCACCACAGCGACTTGGCGTGGTAGGGCGTCTTGCCGTGCAGCGTCTTCCACTCGTCCGGCAGCTTGAGTGCCCCGTTGGCCGCGTAGAAGTCGCCGCCGCCGGAACTGAGGATGTCGTGCCACTGGCGCTCCGTGAACTGACGCAGCCGCAGGAAGCATCGCTGTGGTATGCCCAATTGCGCCAGCGCGGCGAGCATATCAAAGGAGTCTCCAGGCCCAGCTCCAGCCCAAGCCTCTGTTCCGTCCACTTCTTCGCCCTCGTCCGCCAGCTCGCTGATGGTGAGGATCAATTTGGCACTGCCCAGCTGCTGGGGTAGCCAGTCGAGCAGCTCATCCCGCTGCAGTTCATCCACGCCGTCGATGATCAGCACAAAGAAGCGCTGCTGCCGGTCGAGTATCTCCCGAATCACACGGGCATAGGCCTCAAGAGTCTGAATTTGGAATAGGACACATTAACATAAGCTCTCTGGCATTGGTTAAACAGTGTTTTCCTTACGTGAGGCACTTGGCATTGATGACCCGTCTCCAGGACCGACATCTGGTTGGCCATTGAGCCCAGCAATGAGGTGAGATCCGAGGAGCGGGCACTGAGATTGGCATATCTGGTGGGGGTAAGACAAAAATGTTTCATTAACTACAAAGTTACAAATTGAATAGGTTCAAGGAATATTGTAATAATATTGCAAAGATTTCGATTCTTTTATCAACATAAAAGAAAACATCATGTAACTTTATTCTTTTTTTTTTAAATACATTTTTAACCTTTACGAAACGAAGGCTAAAATTATGTTTTGTGGGGAATTCCCTACTGTTTAAAGCAAGCTATTCAGCAATTAAATACAATTTTATCAATGAACATCATTAAAGATGAAAACTCTTCAATTAAGATAAAAATATTTTCAATTAGTTCTGAATGTACATTTATTAGTAGCAATCTAATCTATCGATAAGCTGCAGACTTAAATAGGAAAATCTATAAATAGCAAGTCAATGAGAAACAGAAATAAATGATTGAACTACATTTAGAAATCTTTAGACAGACAATAATACTACATTTGTAGCACCTTTTTGGGGTCGGTTTTGCCCCACCAATAAGTATTTTTTGACTATTGATAAGTATTTTTAAACTGGTAGCTTTAATAATGATTAATCAAAGCTTACCTCAGTATGAGCTGGGCATCCGGCTTCCAGCGGTGCACGTTCTCCATGATCTTGGAGACCAGGACGCTCTTGCCGCTGCCCCGGGCGCCGGAAACGACCAGCGGTTGGGCGGTGCTGTCCCGGATGTAGCGCTTCACATCGTTCATGATGTCAAAGTTGGCCGAGTTCTGGGCCAGCAGCTTCGAGTAGTGGCCCACAAGGCGCAGCTCTTCGAGCAGCACCCGGTCCACGCCCAGCGTGTTGTAGGGGATGCTGCTCTTCTGCTGGTGCTCCTCGAAGATCCCGGCCAGCGCCTTGTCCAGCAGGCTCTCAATGACCGCCGACAGCTCTTCGTCCAAAATGCTCATCGTGGGCAGCAGCCGGATGAGGTTCTTCTCGCTCAACTGGCTCTTCAGTCCGGCATAGACATGGCTGATCCTGCGCTGCACCTCCAGCTCCAGCTGGCTGGCATTCTCCGACGGCCGGGCCACCTGGCTGCCCGTCTGGATCCAGATGCAGCGCTTGGCCAGCTCCTGGCTGATCAGCACCGTGTTGTTGATCTCCTGCTCCACCACGGTGGTCAGATACGAGTCCTTGACGTCGTCGGAGAATAGGCGCAGCAGGACGGCCAGCAGCTCGTTTAGCTCGCCGTTGGCCTGGCCGGAGTACGGGTCCACCTGCTGGGCATGCAGCCGATGGCACATCGGCTGGTACGAGTTGTCAATGGTGTACCACTTCTCCAGCAGCAGGCGCTCCGACTCGCTGGCCATGCCCAGCACCGAGGTGAAGTCCT